AAGGGTGAACCGCTGAGCCCGGCATGTGCGGAGCCATTACATAATTTGGGTGGACTTGGGAGGGATGAATTGGGGGGATGAAGTGTGTTGGCAAAGTGGTGATCACTCAGTCCGAGCACCGCTTTAAAAACCACTCTTGAGGCCTTTTTCCTAGAGGCCGCCTCTGTGGTGAGGTCCCTTTGTGTGGCTCACCCACCTGGAGGCCCACAATTAGACAGGATGGTTTTCACTCACATTCTTGTGCCAGCTCAAATCTTGTTCGGAAGCTTGTCTGAGTTCCTCTAGAGATAGAAAGACTCTGAGACACGTGTAACTTTTTCTCTTATGTGTGAAAACGCCTCTCTGGTAGAACAGCGACATTCCTCTGTGCCTCACAGCCACAGTACCGTGGACATGACTTGCAGCTAAATCCCACAAGAAAATACAAAGGAAAGCAGGAAGGTTTTTTTTTTTGTGGTCAAAGTTGTTGATATTTTTTATTTTTAATTTTTTAAGTTTATTTATTTTGAGAGAGAGAGAGAGCGAGGAGGGGAAAGGCAGAGAGAGAAGGAGAGAGAGGATCCCAAGCAGGCTCCAAGTTGCCAGTGCAGAGCCCAGCGTGGGCTTGAACCCATAAACCATAAGATCATGAGCTGAGCTGCAACCAAGAGTCAGGCGCTCAACCAGTTTGAGCCACCCAGGTGCCCCTGTTGATACTTTTTAAAACTTTGGTCTCTTAAGAAGTAATAAATATGACCATCATAGAGCACTTGCAGGTAGAGAAAGAGGTAGAAAAACACAAAAAATCCCATAATTCCATCACTCCTGTTAACATTTCGAGTTGTTTCTTCCAACCTTTTTTTTTTTTTTTTTTAAGTTTATTTATTTCTAATAATCTCTTCACCCAGCATGGGGCTTGAACTTGCTGCGATCAAGAGTCGCAGTTTCCTCCAACTGAGCCCCCCAGGCGCCCCCTTCCTTCCAGCCATTTATTTATTTATTTATTATAAATGTTTTTATTTATTTCTGAGAGAGAGGGAGACAGCGTGAGCAGTGGAGGGTCAGAGAGAGAGGGAGACACAGAATCCGAAGCAAGCTTCAGGCTCTGAGCTAGCTCTCGACACTGAGCCGACACGGGGCTCAAACCCACAAACCATGAGATCATGACCTGAGCCGAAGTCGGACGCTTAACCAACTGAGCCACCCAGGTGCCCCTTCCAGCCTTTTAAATATTAGTTTATGCAGGGCAGAAAGGACTTTATGGCATCACAGATTTTGGTAGATTCTTAATTTCCTTTTTAAGATTTTATTTTTAAGTAATCTCTATACCTAATGTGGGGCTCAAACTTACAACCCCAAGATTGAGAGTCACACACTCTTCCAACTGAGTCAGCCAGGCACCCCCATTCTTAATTTTCTTTAGCCTCAGTTCTCTTCTCTGTAAAATGGAGATGATTCCAGTTGGGGGTTGAGAGCTGGATGACAAGAGCACCAGGCAGAGTGTGTGCCCCGCAGTAGGTGCCTGCAGTTCCATAGCGTGTATTTTTTATTTGTTGTGAGCATTATCTTAGGTCTGTAAGCCTTTCTTTTTTTTTTTGAAATGTTTATTTACTTTGAGAGGGGTAAATAGAGCAGGAATGGGGGAGGGCAAGAGAATCTGCTCTGTCAGCCAGAGCCCGACGTGGGGCTCAAACTCCTGAACCATGAGATCCTGATTTTAGCCAAAATCAAGTCAGTTGCCCAACCGACTGAGCCACCCAGGTGCCCCAAGTCTGTAAGGCTTTTGTAAACATTTTTCAAGATTTCTATTCCATCGTTAGAATGTACTGTAACTTACTTAAGAATTCCATTGTTGTAGGTGTTCAGGTTACTTCCAGATTGAGGACTGTTTCCATGGCCAATTATAATAATTATTATTTTCATAATTAGGAACACCCTAAATAGCCCCCATCATTAGGAGCCAAGACAAATTAGGTTTTTGGACTGCAGCTTCATGATGGCTGAGGTTGTTGCAGAGAATGGGCGCATTGACGTGGCTGTTGTATGTGCGTAATTGCTGTGTCCAAGTGAAATGCCAGTGGGCGTTTCTGGGTGTTGCTTCAAATGTGCCCCAGGCCCCTGGAACCGAAGGCTCACCTCTCTTCTTCCCGCTGGTGTTTCAGACCCTCTGGGATATTAGGCATTTGAAGAACTGAAGCCCCGCTCTGGGTCAGCACTAGTGCTGCCCTCAGAGAGTTCCTGTTCCACTGGGGAGCCAGACACTGAAACCAGCGAATGTCGCCTTGCAGATAAGTCAGGGATGCAGTGAAGACACGTGGGTGGGCGGAGTCAGCGCTTGTCTGGTGAAGGTGTGGGTCAGAGGCCTCAGGAGACGGGGTGCTGTGGCTGAGTCTGGAAAGATGGGCATGTTTGCTTGGGTTCTTGGTGAAGAGAAGACCGCCATCTGGATCTCCAGCGGGGAGGTGGTAGGAAATGTCTTTGAATGTTCTGGCACTTGTAGAATTTGGTATGGGTGGACATAAGGTGGGGGCCTTGGTTTGAGGGGGGAGCAGCGGCTGTGTGCCGTGTCTTCTTCATTCTGGGTCTCTAGTACCCCAACAGTGCCTGAGGAGGGTGGGCCCTTGGTCGGTGGAGGCCGAACACGTTCAGGAAAAGCTTCAGCTGCAGCACCAGACTGCATTTCTCTGGCTGTTGGGCAGAGTTCTGCGAGTTGGTTCATATGGGGCTGTGCGGACATGCTGGGGCGTACCACGTGTGCCGACCTGTGGGAGGCCCCCGCTACCTGACGGGCGAGTAACGCCTGCCAGGAGGTGCCAGGAGTTACTCCCAGGGCTTGGGAGTAACTGGCTCTGAAACCGGTCCTGTGATTTGTACCTGGATGTGGTTACAGAGACTTCTAATTGTAGTCACGGAGCTAATAAGCCAGCCAGCCCAAGGGCATCTCAGGTCTGATCCTCCAGAGTAGGATGTGTGCTCTCACTGGAGCAGCTGGCAGCTCACTGGCGGCTCTGGCACCTGTGGGTGTGCTCTGCGTTCTTGCAGGCCTGACTCATCGCCCACATTCTCATGCTGTGTAGCCCAGTGCTGTCCTGGGCCGCCGCTCCTCACCCAGACTTGAGGGGTGGGGAGGAGGCCCGGGGGCAGGAGGGAGGGGGGGCCAGGGAAAGGGAGGGAAGACAGGCTGGGCGGATATCTGCTGTATGCCAGGTGCTGTACTGGGTGCTTTATACACACCTGTCTGAATGCTCGTGAAAAGCATGGAGTGTAGATGTTGGTATCGTCATTGTCAAGTGGGAGAAATCAAATCGGAGAGCTTAGGTACCTCCATCAGGATGATACAGCGAGTGGAGTAAGTAAACCTGTGCCTGTTCTTTTCACCTACTGCTCCAGCTCTGCCCTCCTTGTCAGGCAGGTGTCTTTGGCCTTCTCGAAACCTTGACGGTGCAGTGGACTCTCAGGGACAGCTTCAAAAAGCCCAGGGTCCCACTGTGTAAGCAAGTCCCTGCAACTACCTGGGCCTTGGTTTCCTCTTTGGCAAAATGGGGAGAAAATTCAGTGTGTTTGCTTATGAGGGTTGTGTAGGAATCCGAGCAGGTGGTGTGACTGGGAACCACACTGGCACCAGGGCCCTGGGTAGATGTGCTGTAACAGCTGAGGGTGCTCCAGGACTTGGGACACAGCTTCCTCTCTCCTTCCCCCTTTCTCAGCGGGAACTGTAAGTGGAGCCCAAGGTGGAGTCAGGCTGAGCTTTCCTCTCCCAGAATGGAGGTTAGAGCTGGGTTGATCCAGGCCTGTTCTCTGCTGCCACTCAGCAGTATTCATGTGACCTTCAATGAGACCTTTTTGAGCCTTGTAAAGTGGGAGATATGTCGCCTTGTCAGTCTGTTAGGTGTATACCAGACTAGTATATTTGGTGTTCGCCACTACACTGGTCCTGTTCCTCCTGAACTCTGGGTGCTGGTGCTCTGGGCGCCTGGCATGGTACGTTCACACCATAGCGCCCTTCTTCAGACCTCTGCAGGCGACTTCCTATTCAGCTGTGTTTTGAACTAGTATGTATATAACACTTGGCACATGACAAGGTCTCTTCTGGGGCTGGCGATATGACTGTGGACAAGACAGACTCCCTGGCTTACTGCTGTCTGGAGGGGCAGAAAGATCTGGAACGTCATCCTACTCATACATATATAGAGGCATTAGAGTTCTGGTGGGTACTGCAAGGGAGAAGCTCACATGACAGTTGGCCAGAGAAGGGCTCCCTGAACCACGAAGGCTGGGCCTCAATGCTGAGTAGAGTTTACAAGGGAAGAGGATGGGCTGGGGGAGCTGAGAGAAGAGTGTCTCAGAAGCTGGGTGTAAACTCTCTGGACCTGAGTGATGTCAGCTAGGCCCAGACCGGGTGTGGAGAGGCGGCTTTCTGCATCTGTGAGATCTTACTGTTTATCTAGGGCACCCTTCGTAGTTAATGATGCCTCCTGGGGTAGCCCAGAGACCTGGGTGGGCTAGGACTGGGCTTTCAGTCTCAGCTCTGCCATTTACTCTCCTGTGCCCTTGAGGGCGCCCCCCCTCCCCCCGCCCCAGTCCTTTCTGAGACACAGATTTTTCCCATCTGGAGCATAGCAGTATCTCCCAAACAAGGAGTCTTCACACAGGTGTAAGGGGCATCATGACCTCAGTGCACAAAGGATTTGGGACGACTCACGAAAACAGTATAAAAGGATACACTCAGTAGTTAGGTCAGAGGGAAACGATTGGTAAAAAGAGGCTGGGCTGTTGATTAGCACCCAAAATTCACTCCACTGTATCTCCCTGAACATTTACAGAGCCAGGTATGTTGCTTGGTTGACCGAATTCTTCCTGGCTGCATGAACAAAGAGACAGGATCAGGTACTTGATTCACAATGCTCTTTTCTTTTAGGAAAAAAAGTGATTATGGGAGAATGTGATTTTTCTTTCTCCCTGCACTGAGGCCAACTCTCAGGGACACTGTATATGTTGATAACTGTCTGTCCTGTTTACAGGTCTACTGGAAGCACTGGGCAATGAACCCGAGACTCCAGCCCAGAGTGGTCTGAAACCATTTGGGAAAGAAGAGGGAGTCCTAGGGAAGATGGCCATGGCCCCAGGCCCTTCCCTGGCTCAGGTGTACACCAGCCCCGTGGCAGTGGCTGTGTGGGAATGGCAGGACGGGCTGGGCACCTGGCACCCCTACAGTGCCACCGTCTGCAGCTACATCGAGCAGCAGTTTGTCCAGCAGAAGGGCCAGCGCTTTGGGCTGGGGAGTCTGGCCCAGAGCATCCCCTTAGGCCAAGCTGACCCCTTGCTGGCCCCTTACATCATTGACCTCCCCAGCTGGACCCAGTTCCGCCAGGACACTGGTAAGACCCTTCCTGCCTCTAGTATATGTTGGAGCACCTGCTTTGGGCCAGACATCATGCTGACCATGGGGTTCTATGTAGAGTTGACTCTTGGAGTTTCGTCCTGTCCCAGACAGGTGCTGTGAGTGGTATAGGTGGCACAGTGTGGGATGTACCTTTTCGTAGTAGGGAGTGCCTTGAGAGCACAGTGCAGAGGCCCTCCCCACCCCTTCCCCCTGTTGCTCAAACCCAAGCTGCCTGCCTCCACCTGTAGAGATTGGAGGGGCTTGCGGGCAGGGAGGCCAGGACGGAGGTAGAGTGCCGTGCTAGTTAAGGGGGGCCTGGTGATGAGTTCTGCTTCTGCTGCACGATGTCCGTGTGACCTGAGCAGGTTACTTCATTCTCCTGTGTGCTCACATTTGGGCTTTTTGTGGGTTTTGGTCAGTATTACCAAGAATGGGACCACCAATCTCCCCCCAGAGCTGTGCCTTGTCCGCCTAACCCGGTGGTTCTCAGCTGGGAGTGATTTTGTCCCCTAGGACGTTTATTTCACAGTGTTTGGAGACATTTTTAATTTTCACCAGTGGGGAAGGGACCCGCTGGCTTCTAGTCAGTAGAGGCCAGGGATGCTGCTAAATGCACAGGACTGGCACCGTGACAAAGAATTCTTGGCCCAGGATGTCGCTGGTGCAGAGACTGAGAAACACTACTCTGATCCCTATGGCAGCGTCCTCAGGTGTGTGAGGACTAAGGCTTCCAATCAGTTGGCTACAGAAGAAAGTCCCTGCCTTCCTGATATTTGGAGTCCACTGAGAAAGGCAGCAAACAAGATATGTAACGTGGAGATTGTGTATTGTGTTAGATGGCAGTAAGTGTTAACCAGGGAACGGAAGTGCTAGGAGAGGCCAAGGTTTGAGCTTGGGTGACTGGTTCACCAGGAAGGGGGACAAAGACAAACCTGAGGGAGGGGAAGGTTGTTCTTTGAAGGGACTTTAGCTTTTATTATTATTATTAAAAAATTTTTTTTCATGTTTGTTTATTTTGAGAGTGCACGAAGGAAAGAGAGAAAGGGCACAAGCAGGGGAGGAGCAGAGAGAGAGAATCCCAAGCAGGCTCCCCACTGTCAGCACAGAGCCCGACGCAGTCCTCAGTCTCACAAACTGTGAAATCAAGACCTGAGCTGAAGTCAAGATCCAGACACTCGACTGACTGAGCCACCCAGGCACCCCTTGGCTTTTATTCTGAAAGGGGGAGCTATGGGAGGATTTGGGCAGAGGAGTGCTGTAATCTGATTTGGAGGTGAAGAGTATCCCTCTGGCTGCCAAGGATGGAGGCGGGGTGGGGCGAGGAGACCAGTAGAAGCAAATTGCAGTGATCATCTTCTGGCAAGTGCTCTTGGAAACCCTTTTTCTCTGTTGTCTTCAGGTTTGGTTTATTAAGAATAAAAGCTAACCACAGGGTATTTCCCTGTAGTTGCTGCCTGGAGAGTCAAAGGGAATAGCAGGTCCACTTAAGAGACTTCTGTAACAGTGAATAATGAGTTGTATATAAAGTGTTAGAGATGCAAGGCCCAACACAAGAAAACAGCCTGAAAAGTTTTCAGTGTGGTTGTCAGCTCCCTGAAAGGGCATGTCTAGAAGACGAGATGGGAAGAGATGCATTGTGAGAGAAGCTGTGTGGTTGGATTATGGCCGGTTTAATTTTCTTAACTTTCTTTCTTTCTGTCTTTCTTTCTGTCTGTCTTTCTGTCTGTCTTTCTTTCAAGTGAAGCTACGTATGTTTCCTCATTAGCAGTATTTTGAAAAAGCCTGGAATCTGAGCCACAGCTGTTCTTTCACCTAAGCTCCTGGCATCTCCTACTCCTGCCAAGGAGCACAGGTCCCCCTCTGCCACTAGATTCCTTTGGGCCAGAGTTTCTTTACCGAGAGGGAGCTTTCTACCCTTCACCCAAAATTTGGAAAGAATAACTGGTACCAGCCTTTAGGTCAGATGGCAACATGACCCTACACACACTGACCATGTTGGTGTTTGTTTTCTTTTTTTAATGTTTATTTATTTTTGAGAGACCAAGCATGAGCAGAGGAGGGGCAGAGAGAGAGGGAGACACAGAATCCGAAGCAGGCTCCAGGCTCTGATCTGTCAGCACAAAGCCTGACATGGGGCCCAAACCCTCAAACCATGACATGAGATCATGACCTGAGCCGAAGTCGGATGCTCAACCGACTGAGAAAAGGAAGTTTTAAACTTTTTTTTGTTTTGGAGTGGCTAGCAGATGAACCATTTACATGTCCTCCCCCTCTTCAAACAGGCACCATGCGGGCTGTGCGGAGGCATCTGTTCCCCCAGCATTCAGCCCCGGGACGGGGCATCGTCTGGGAGTGGCTGAGTGACGATGGCTCCTGGACGGCATATGAAGCCAGTGTCTGTGACTTCCTGGAGCAACAGGTGGCCAGGGGCAACCAGCTCGTGGACTTAGCTCCCCTGGGGTACAACTATACCGTCAACTACGCCACCTACACGCAGACCAACAAGACTTCGAGCTTCTGCCGTAAAGTGCGGCGTCAAGCGGGACCCCCATATCCGGTGACCACCATCATTGCCCCACCAGGCCACACGGGAGTCGCCTGCTCTTGCCATCAGTGCCTCAACGGCAGTGGAACCGGCCCCGTGTCGGGCCGCTACCGCCACTCCATGACCAACCTCCCTGCTTACCCTGTCCCCCAGCCTCCCCACAGGACCGCCATTGTATTTGGGGCCCACCAGGCCTTTGCCCCATACAATAAGCCCTCACTCTCTGGGGCTAGGTCTGCACCCAGGCTGAACACCACCAATCCCTGGGGTGTGGCACCACCCTCCTTGGGGAACCAGCCCGTCTACCGCTCCAGCCTCTCCCACCTGGGACCACAGCACCAGCCCTCAGGATTGCCCACTGCCAGTGGAGTCAGGTATCTTGTGTTATTGAGGGTCATTTTGTCCACGTCTGTGCCCTGTCAGTGGGCTTGGGTTTCTGCTTTTACTTAGCTGGGAAGATACGCCCAAATACCTATAGACCTGCCCCCTGCCTCCTTGCTGTCTCTGCGTCATCTCCTTTGCCTGTGCCACCTGGAGCCCGGGTGCTGGCCTTCCACAGCCTTGCGTTGAACGGAGCTTATGTGATCTCTGGTGCTTGAACGCTGATCGTTGCCACGTGGGTTAAAACAGTAATGCCTTCCTTCGTCCATCTAGTCAGGAGAGTGAGGCTGGTGTAGAGCAGGTAAAGGTGTGCCTGTGTGCCACATAGCTCGTGCCATGCACCTGACAATGTTTTGTTGATTCCTCCTCTGTGCCAGGCACCAAAGACACAGACGTGGAATCTTCCCACACGAGCCCACAGTCTGGACCAGGGAAAGCTATGAGCCCAGTGTTGGTGCTTAACGGTTGAGGAGAAAACAAAATGCGGAGTATGTGGCAGGTGGTGTCAGGTGACAGGATGGCTTCCATGCTGGTGTAGTCTGGTGTGGTGTCTCCTGGGGCTCTCTGCTTCTTGAGGGGCATGATGAAATGGGCACCATCCAGATGAGGGGGCACCTAAAAAGTCAGGAAACCTCCTGGAGTGGCCAGTGAGGGGTGTTCCCTGGGTGCTTGGAGACCTGTCACTGACGAGGGGCCTTGTCCAGTGATCATTACTGAGGGTGTTGGACTTAGAGAACATTTATTTATTTTATTTTATTTTTATTTTTTTTAAAAATGTTTTTATTTATTTCTAGGATAGAGAGAGACAGCGTGAACAGGGGAGGGTCAGAGAGAGAGGGAGATACAGACTCTGAAAGAGGCTCCAGGCTCTGAGCTGGCAGCACAGAGCCCGACGCGGGGGTCGAACCCACAAACCGCGAGATCATGACCTAAGCGAAAGTCGGACGCTTAACCGACCAAGCCACTCAGGCGCCCCGGGCTTAGAGAACATTTAGAGAGTTCCAAATGGTAACTGGGATGGGGGGCTGGTTTCTGAGATGGTGCCCGGAGAGGGTGGGTAGTGACTGGATGTTGGGACCCTGTAGCAGGCCTGTGGCTGCCCTGCCCCCCAAGTGGGTCAGCATCTTGTTGGTTTGGACTGACGTCGGCCAGTCAGTTTCTTGGTGCTGCTGCACTCCTTACCCAGCCCCATCCCTGCCTCCTTGACCATGGTGAGGGCTTCCCAGTGTGGACAAGACTTTCTTGGCGGCTCCTGGGCTTCTAGCATTTTTTTCCAATGTTTGTTTATTTTTTAGAGAGGCAGAGAACAAACAGAACAGGGGTAGAGAGAGGAAGACACAGAATCTGAAGCAGGCTTTAGGTTCTGAACTATTAGCATCGAGCCCGACGTGAGGCTCAAAACCACGAACCATGAGATCATGACCTGAGTTGAAGTTGGGCACTTCACCGACTGAGCCATTCAGGCATGCCTAGCAGTTTTTTAAAGCTAAGTTTCAGAGGACCCTGCCAGCTTCTATAAGACAGGATGACAACTGCCATTCATTGAGCACACGTAGCCAGGCCCTACTGAGCAGGCTGTGTGAGTGATTTCAGTGATTCTTATAATGACCATATGGGAGGTGGTGTCCTCAGCTTACGGGTGAGCACACTGAGGTTGACAGGATAGGCAGCATAGCCAGCAAGTGGCAGAGTAGGGGGTTAAACCAGGCCCCACAGCAGGCCGGAAGGAACACATGGAGTTCTTGAAGCTGTCTTAAAGAGTGACAGGAAGGCAGCGATGTCCTGAGGGATGAGGGTGGGGGAGCCCCTAGACCAGAGGAGAATAGGTCAGGGCATCTTCCCGGGCATCTCCTTCAGGGAATGGGGGGTATGTGGACCTGAGCTCTTTCTGGGAATGGGGCTACAGGAGACTTCACTTGGCCGCCTCCCTGGATTTTCACGTAGGCATTAGCGAGCGGGGCTCTGTGCTGTCCGAGTCCCACCTGCTATGCTGTGAGGCGCCTTCCAGTATGTGGGTCAGACTCTTTCAGAGAAGAGTGTGCTGTTGGCCAGCCCAGAATGGTTACCAGCAGGTCCAGAGCTGCTTCTACTTGGTCAGTTCTGCTGAGCCTCCTGGGGCTTCTTAAGTTCTTATAAATTATTTTGAGGCACGTTTCTAGATAGTTCTAGAAACTGGGATTCTGGGATTGAGCCAAGTGACTTAATTGATGGGCTTTGTTGCTTTCTCCTGGTACAGGACTCCCATTGGTCGCTCCTGAGGCTTCTCTGGCATCCCCCCTCCCCAGCCTAAGGGCCCAAGACACTGCCAAAGTGGGCCCCCTGGTACAGGCCTGGCAAGTTACGGAAGGGATGGTCTTACCTTTGCTTCTGGGCCTGCGTGTTGCAACTTGCTCTGCTTGCCTTGGTTTTAAGCCAGGAAAGGGACCAGGCCAGCCAGCTCTGTTAGTTGAAACCACCTCAAAGGAGCTGTCCTCCTGAGGTGGGTGTTCATCTTTATCTCCTCTGCTTTTTGGGAGCTGGGAGAGGCCCAGCTCACTCGCATGGGCCTATCCCTGTTTGGAAAAACATGATTTCCCCCATGTCTTATTTGTATCGGCCCTCTTCAGTTCACCCCCTTCCGGTGGGTATTGTAGAGCTGGAGGGGGCATGATGAATGCCCGGTGTCTTGACCCAACCGGGCCAGGAGGATCGAAAACACTCAACACCTTGGTCTCCCTGGGGGCTGTGGTCTGGTTCTCCAAAGCGAATGATTGTCAACTGCATTAGGTGAAAATTTTCTGGAGAGTGGCAGGCTGGCGGCACCATGGGCTGGGGAAGCCTGAGAACCAGCTGTACTTACTGGTAGCCACTGGAAAGAACATGTGAGTGAGTGAAATCAAAATTCGCGGAACCCGTGTGGTTTTTATTTGGGAACCCATGTGGTTTCAGATCGCTTCTTGCTCAACCTGGGTAAAACCTTGGCCGACTGACTTCCTTATGGCCCGGGAGGCTTTCTGAGTAGGCAGTAAGTAATCCATTGAGAAGGGACTTTGTCTGTCTGTCACTGCCTGGGTTTAAGAAAATTTCCTAGTTGCTGAATTTTATCCCTTTAAGCACCAAAACTCGTGTTTTAATGATGTGGGGTGGAAACCTTTCCAAAATGTGTCATGCACACTCTTGTCTTCTTTAATAGAGGGTGTGGTGGCTTAACATTTTGATGACTTGGGGTAGTGATTGTGACCAGCAGTCTGTTGCAGCTTTGGTGTGGCTGAGCCCTGGGGCGCCTTGCCTTTACACTAAGTGGCCCTTGGAAATGGCTTTCCAGCTTGCTTTCATGTGCTCCATTCCTGCTGCTGCCGTTCTCCGAGCCTCTAAAAGCACTCTTCACCCACTGTCCACCAGGCTTGCGTGCTCAGGAGTCCTGGATCCCAGGGGGGCCTGCCTCCTGACTGGCTGTAGGCCCCTTGGGTCAGCTCTGTTCCCTTTCCATGTCTTTCCTTTCCCCGCTTAAGATTAAGGAGTTAGGCTGGGAAGTGTGACATTTCCTTTTGCTCCAGTATTGCAGTTTTCAAGATTTTAGTGGGAGCCCTCAGGAAGGTACCTGGCGGCTCCTCAGCTTTCCTGTATCCCCTTTGCTCCTCTGAGAACAGAGGAACAGTGACATTTGTACTGGGCTGCAGATTGAGCCTCCCAACCAGCCAAGGGGCCTTTCAGAATTATTCTCATCTTACAGATAGAGAAATTAAAGCTCAGGAAGGGGACTTGAGCTGGCCAAGGGCACACAGCTTTAAACTGGAGCGGGTGCTATTAGCGGGGTCTCTGGACCTCCCGTGTAACGGTCCTCGTGCTGCATGGGGCTGCTGATGGGTGCTGGCTCGCCCACCTGTGGGGAGCTGGCGGGAGCTGTGCATTTCCTTGGTCCAGCTTCCCAGCTCTGCCCTTTGCCCAGGGGCTGTCCAGTCTCGCCTTCACAGAAGATTGGAAATCCTCATGTCTTGTTCTGAACTCCATTTGGAAGCTCCTGGAGGTAGTCCCAGACAGGAAAGCCGGGGTGGGCCTTGTAGGCAGCCGGCAATGGGGGAGGCTGGGAAGGTTGCCTGAGCCCATGACTGGAAGGGCTCTACCTTCTGGAATTTCTTCACTTATAGAACCTGAGAGTTGCAAAGACCATCAGAGATCATCTACCTTCCTTTAAAAAACTAAAATGGAGAAACGGGCTGAGGAAGGGGGTGGTGGTTGCTTCAAATCAAACAGTTTAGTGGGACCAAAACCCTAGCCCAGGTGTACTGAACAGGCGGCTCTCCCCTGCGTTAACAGAGCACTCCGGAGCCAGGTCCATTTTTGCCTTGGGCTTGAGTATAGCCGAGGCGGGCAGGGAGCCACCATGTGAGCAGTGTGGCCACACAGGTTATTCTCTTTGGGGAGAACAGTCAAGAAATGAAAACAAAACAACCTCTTTCTTCACTCAAACAAGTACTGAAGCACCTGCTGAGCTCCATGCGGGGCCCTGGCAGCTTCAGGACTAGCTGAGTGTGAGATTGGGGTTTGAAGCAGGACCAGCCAGCTCCATGTGGTTGCCACCAGTGGGATCTGTGACCCAGGGCCAGTGGTTTGGAAGGATCTGGGGCATCTTCCTGAAGCACTTGTGGGAACCAGGCAGGCTGTTAGTTTGCTGGCAGCTGTAAGGGCCACACAGTAGTTGGGGACTGTCTGCCATTTCCTGAGTGCCTTCCCAGCCCCAAGCCAGGCCCCACGGAACAGACAATACGACCCGACCCTGTCCTTGGGGATTCTGGGATTCTGCAGGGACTGTGTGAAAGTTTCAGAACCTTTCTGGTGTGGTTATCTTTTTTTTGAGAGAGAGAGAGAGAGGGAGGGAAACACAGAATCCAGAGACAGGCTCCAGGCTCTGAGCTAGCCATCAGCACAGAGCCCAACGCGGGGCTCGAACCCACGAACCGTGAGATCATGCCCTGAGCCGAAGTTGGAGGCTTCACCGACTGAGCCACCCAAGCGCCCCCTGGTGTGGTCATCTTTAACATGGGGCAGGGATGGGCTGGAAGACACTTGAACTGGGTCGCGGGGAGTCGGGGGAGGATTGGCAGGCTTTTCAGGCCATCTTGGCCAACTGGGCTCCAGTGTTGCATACATTTATTATCACTTGAGAAATAGAATGGCTTAGAACCAAGTAAATGACCCAAATGTAGTTAATGTGCGAAGCAAAATCCCCATTAAAAAAAAAAAAATCCAAAAAAATTTTTCTTTATTTTGAACTGGTTTTAGATTTATAGAAAAATTTAAAAATAGTGCAGTTACCATATCTCCATTCCTTGACTTCTCTCGTAAACATCTTTCTTACCTGCAGTGTAGTTGTCAGAACCAGGGAATTGCCTTGGGTATGTTCCTATTAACTAAGGACTTTTCTCAGTTTTCACCCGTTTTCCTGCTGCTGTTCCCATTCTGTCCCAGGATCCTGGGCGACCCTACTTTGTATCCAGTTTTTCTCCCTTTCCTCCCTCCAGTAGGAGTTCCTCCCTTTATCTCCCATAACCTTGACGCTTTTAAAGAGTTACTTTGTTGAATGTCCCTTATTGGGCTTGTCTGTTGGTTTCTCATGCTTGAGATTATGCAGTTTTGGCAGGAACCACAAAAATGGTCTTCTGTCCTTCTCAGAGCACTGTTTTTGGGGTTCCTGGTGTTGACTGATCATATTACTGGTGATACTGGTCTTGAGTACTTGTTAGAGCGGTTGCTGCTAGATTTCCCCTTTCCAGGTGCCATAGAGCCCTCATTCTGACAAAGCGAGTGAGCTCAGAATCCTTTTAGGATTGTCATCAGAGTCTGAATTGCCCAGGAAAACATATTTTTTGGACAGTTAAAGCTTCCTTCTTGATCACTTGTAAAAAAATGGAGATACACCCCCCAGCAGTGTTCTCTCCCGTCCATCACTGCTCTGCCCCGCCTGCCCATGCTCCCCCTCCTCAGTGTCTGGCTTGGAGTTTGACTTCCCCACTTGATTTTTGCAGTGGTGGTGGGGCCGTCTCTGGGCGTCACATCCTTGGCATTCAGATTTGTAGGTTAGTTTGGGTCTAAGAGTGCTGAAAATCAGATTTTTTTGATTCTCTTTCCAGACATCAGGATCTTTTTAATGAAAAGAAAACCAGAAATCCTCACTCACACAGAGGCAGCCATGCAAAGTGAAGCTGCGAAGGGGACCCCGGCAACACCAGCAATATTCCTATCTTGGTCTTTCTCTGACTCTTGTTCCTGCTAAGTTGGCTCCTCCAGTAAGCTTTGTTCTCTCTTCTCCCCAAGTGCCTCCCTCCCCAGCGGCCCTGCCAGCAGCCCCGGGAGCGTCCCCGCCGCTGTGCCCGTGCAGATGCCGAAGCCCAGCCGGGTCCAGCAAGCCCTTGCAGGTAGGCACCCTGCTGGGTTCTGGGCTCCAGAACACACCGCCTGGCAGGGGGCAGGATACTGAGGCGGTGGCAGAATGCGTGGTTGAGAGAGGGGATGGTGGAGTGGGGGTCCTGTTACCTGTCTCTTCTCAGGGAGAGCCGCAGCAGCTCCCGGGGTGGGAGGGGGAACGGTGCCTCTTTTTGGTGTTGGGCGATGGTGATGGTGTACATACCCTCAGCGAGTGGGTGTGGGGTGGCCCCTCCTTTGTCTCTCCAGGGGAGTCCTGCCTGATGGCAGTGGCAGTGGGTACGATGGTGTGGACCCTTCCCCATCTTTTACATTTCCACGTCACTTCAGTTATAGTTTGAGTTACTCTTCTGTCCTGAAATGGTTTAGGCATTTCCCTAAAGGGGCCCTCTGGGGAACTCGGAGCTATTTTGGCTGCGGTTACGTTTTGAATTAAGTGGCTTTGTGTCCAACTGGACCTTTTGTTAACTGTACATCTTTGAACTATTTTTTTAGATTCCTTTTATAGTTAAGGGAGCTACTGAAAGTTACTTTTTAACTAATGGGAAACGCAGCATGTTGTGGAAAGCTATTGGGGAGGAGTGGAGTGAGATTGAAGCAGGGGAGTAAGGTAACTTGAGTCCCTGTGTTAGGGTAAGTCACAGGAGTAGACAACGGGGGGTCGAGGGGACGGGCCTGGGACAGGAAGACCCATGTGGAGCCCAACGTGATGGCTCAGGGGAGCCAGCCAGGGCCTGACTTGGGCCACAGCCGTAGTGGAGGTAAGAACTTCCAACTTGGGGATCGGGTGGGCCATGAAGAGCAGGAATAGAAATGGCTGGGGTGCGGTGGCTGATGCGGTGCTATGACACGTCATGATCATTCTTGACGACTAAGTAGGGACTTTGCATGTGTCTTCCTTCATTTCTTCCCAGTAACAGTGGGGTGAGGTACGAACTTTTATTCCCATTTCATACTTGGGGAAATAGCCTCAGAGAATTCCAGATGCTTCCCAAGATCAGCCAGTCAGCCCTTGGCAGAGCTGGGATTCAGCCCCAGGCATTCTTGGCTTCAGAACCTGGGTTCTTAGCCGTTAACGCTGTGCCGATCCAGAGTCCGGTGGGAGCATGGGAAGAGGTGGGGGGCACTGGCTGTGGTTGTAGCCCCACAGAGCTGTCCCAGAAGCAGTGGGAGTTTGGATGTGCAGCTCAGAAGAACATTCTGGGGTGGCATGGGGTGGTCTCTGTCCCCGTGGCGGGGAATGTATGAGCTTACAGAGACTGTAAGTAGGATTCTGGGAAGAGCCCTCGAAGGAAATGGAGGGACCAATCAGAAAAGTGGTAGAAGACAGGAGCGTGGAGCCTCTGGAACCTCCTTCAGCTGCTCAGCCATCAGCCTTCTGTGGGGCAGAGAGGACAGTGAGCAAAGATGTGGTGCCTGGAAATTCCTCCCAGTTTAGGTCTTCTGTGGCATCAGATGCTGTAGGTGAGTCAGACCTGTGTGTGTGTGTGTGTGTGTGCGCGCGCGCACGCGTGCATGTACGTGGTGGTGGTCTCATTGGAGAAAGGTTGTGGGTGAACAGGCCTGGCCTGCACATGGCCCAGCTCCATTCAGCTCTGTGATCACTAAGGCTTGAATACAGATGCTATAATAATCTTTCTAATATTTATTTTTTTAAGTTTATTTATTTATTTTGAGAGAGAGAGAGAAAATGAGTGGAGGAGGGACGGCGGGGGGGCGGGGAGGAGAGGATCTGAAGCGAGCTCCATGCGGAAAGCAGAGAGCACGATATGGGGCTCTAACTCAACAAAATGTGAGATCGTGACCTGAGCCAAAGTCTGATGCTTAACCAACTGAGCCACCCAGGCGCCCCTGTAATAATCTTTCTAAGTGTCTCTCAGAAATGGTCTGGGGATTGAGTAGCGCTTGCTCCCTTTCCTCTGCTCTTGAGGCTGAGGACCCTCTATAGTCTGCATCTCAGGTGGTCTCTAACGTTCCCTGTCACCTTGGCTCTCAGATTGATGCAGGAGGTAGACAGTCTTTTAACTTCATTTCACTCATTGGGGAAACAGGAAGCAGATCTCCAGGATTTAGGAACTGGGTCCCATCACGGAGTAAAGACTTGAGCCACTGGCCAGAAGACCCCTTGTAGTTGTTGGTGGGACCCTAGTCTAAGGTGCCAGGGGAGGAGAAATCCTGAGCCAGCCTCCAGGAAGTAGGATCTGGAGAACATTGTCTTTGCACCCAGCCACGTTTACGGATTGGGGGTTACTCAGGCTGTAGAGAGGTGGACACAGGGTTCTGTGGGTAGGTTTACAAAAAAGTGGTCATCTACATTAGCAGGGGAGGTCCACCGAGGAGGTCAAGCCTGGAAGACTGGGAGGAGTGGGCCTGACTGGGACTCAGCTCGTCAAGGCCAGAGTCGGGACAGGCCTGGGCCTGAGCCCCGGTCACCAGATGAAGGGCCGATCCCTGTTGTCAGGAGGTGATTGCACATCTGACCTTGACAGGGACTGTTCTCTCAGGGGTCTGGCAGATAAGTGGGAATCCTCTTAGATGAGTGGAGAGGCTGTGGCCGTTCAGGCTGCTACAGTTATTTGGGGCTGTGAGGCGTTTGAGGGGCTGTCCCTGAGCCTTGCTGTTGGGACAATGTGATGGCCCCCTCTTGGTGTCTCCCCACCTCATTCTGTGCAGTGGATGTTGCTTTTGTGAAGTTAGGTGTGGGGTGGTTCTCGCACATTCTTGCAGGAAGACAGACCCACAGAGCAGGGGCTGCTTCTCCGCAGGCTTCTAAGTTGAGGCTTCTGTGTCCATGACTTGGATTCAGGAAAGGGGGTCCTGCACTGAGCAGCGCTTCTGCTCTGCTCATGCAGGCCTCACAGTGGCCACCCAGCAGCATTCAGGGATATCTTGGTTTCCCAGCAGACAGGTGCTGTGAGCACCTCTCGTGACCGGGCCCTGCCGGTCACCAAAACAGGTATGCGAGTCCTTTTAGGTAACACTAAGCTGGGTAAAGGAGGCAGAGATGGAGGGGACATGGCTCTTTTAGATGGGGTGGTCAGGGGAGGGGTGTCTCTTGGGTGACGCTTGGAGAGAGGTCTGGTTGAAGTGAGGCAATGGGTGTTGGTGGGGAGGTCATGGTCAGTGCAGAGGCCCAGGGCTCTCGTAAGGCATGGTTCCCATCCCCTCCATCATTCTGTCCCCATGCCTGCTTGTCATTATTCCGTCCCCCTGACATTAGGTTCAGTCCCACATCTGAGCTCAGAAGCAATCAACCTTAAGATGCTGGTGGCATTGCATTACCTGATGAACGAGCGCCTGGGTGCAGCCGTGGTGTTCTGACGTGCTCTTTCGTGTCTCCTGCGAGTGGCTGCCACGGCGCACCCTGCCTACTGCTGCTGTGCTGCCCAGGCTGCTGGCTGGCCTCTGCTTCTGTCCCTGATTGGGCATGTTTGCCGCATTGAGTCTTTGTTCTGTGGAGGCCACAGTGGCTGGCCTGGCTGGGTCCCAGGGCTGGGTTTCCCCTTCCCCATCTGCATCACCCCCGGAGTGGGCAGTGCCAGCTGCCTGGCCTCTGTGGGCTCTCTACTTCCTACCCCAGGCTGCCCTCAGGGAGGTGACAGAGCAGAACCCAGAGCTCTCCTGGAAAGGAGGTGTTTTTGAGCTAGACAGAGGGCACGGGGGATTGAGTGGGGGTGCTGTGGACAGAACGTAGGCTGAGGGTGCAGTAGGAGTACGGATGCAGCAGGACTGCATCATGTGTACCATGTGTTGGCTCCCCAGGAAGAGGTGAGGGGTGAGAGTCTGGCAAGGGCATGTGTGGAGCACCAGGCTGGGGAGTGAGGTCTTTCCCCCGTGAGTATGCCCACCCTGCTCCATCCAGGGCAGAGGGGCTGTTTGAGCCTTGACTGAGGACACGAGAGGAGGTGGCCACGGCCCGGGACCCTTGCTGCTCCAGAGGAGCAGGGGCCATGGGGTGCCTCAGTGGTGGGGGCAGGTCCCGGGGCCAGAATTCCTGCTCCCCCACCTAGCGAGGGCACTGACAGCACCTGGACAGGCCAGATGGGGCACAGAAAGCAGACAGCACCCCACTGGAAGCAAGGTGAGCAGGAGCCAAGAGGGCACAGCCAGGGGAAGCACAGGGGTTGGACTGGGAGCTTGAGACCCCATCCACATCTCCATAACTTGGCCGCGTCCTTCCATGTCACCCCCTGCCCTCTGCCCTCCTGAAGCAAGCGGCCTCGCCCCTCCGCCTTCCCCACATGCTGTGAGTACGGGCTGGGTGGTTGCTTGTTCAGGTACCTGTGGAACTTGGGGTCAGGGCTCTGATGAGCCGGGTTCCGGCTGGTTCCTGGCCTGGAGCTTAGCCCAGTGTGCCCGAGAAGGCCCCAGCAGCCTTGAGCGGCCAAGTCCTCAGGAAGATCGGTGGGTCCTGCTGGCCATCACAGTGCCACCTGGACTCAGCCGAGGTGTGTGGACGTCACGTGCCGAATGACTCTTTCTAACGTTTCTCCCCTCTGCATGTCTGATCTCGCATCCCATGTAGGCATGACGAGTATTCTGATGTCAGCCATTGGACTCCCTGTGTGTCTTAGCCGCGCACCCCAGCCCGCCAGCCCTCCCGCCTCCTGTCTGGCCTCTAAAAGTCACAGCTCAGTTAAGAGATTGAGGAAAATGTCCATGAAAGGTAGTTCCTGCTCACAAATGCTCTCTGGCCTCTGCTAAGCCTCCGAGTCTTGCTGCCTCTGACTCTCCTGCAATGATCGCTCTTCTCTGACTCCCACGGCCCTTCTCCGCTTCCTTTACCCCCGAGGGGAGGGGCTCGGTGGCCCTTCTCCCTGCCGTCAGCACAGAGGTGGCCCCCGAAATCTACTTAACACTGAAGACCGTGAGTTCAACTCCTATCTTGCTGGCACAGTTGGAATGTGAGGGGCCTATTCTTGGGACTCTGTGACTCTATGGGGCAAGGCCGGCTCAGGATGGGGGGGGACTCTGTCCTTCCCACCAGGGCCAGCATGTGTCTCAGGAAAGGCCCCCAGCCCTATCTCGCCTACATCAGAGGGTTCCCCCAGTAAGCACTGTGCTGCCCATCACATGGCTGGGGAGGAAGGGGTTTCAGAACCATGGAAGGTATGGGGAGCTTTAGGCAGACTTACATGAGGGGGCCTGTGGGTAGTAGGTTCTAAACCTGCCATTTCTAAAGCCAATAGCGGCTCTGCCTCCAGCTTTGGGCTGGAGATGCACAGACTGCGGAAAGGAGTCAGGAGGGTGGGGTGAGCAGGGAGCATGACTCTGGCTCAGCCAGTCTTGGGTTCCAGTCGTGGCTTCTGTGCTCACTGCTTTGTGATCTCACGCCTGTGTCTCCATTCACGAGCCGGTGCCTCTACTCAGCAGGTTGGTCATGGGAGGAATAGGAAACCCACACGGGAGGCGCCCGGCACGTAGTGATGGGGGCTGCTCTGATCATGGCCCACTGCCTGTCTGACCTCTTTATTATGGTTGGTGGTCACCTGGCTGGCCCCCTTTGAGAAACATGGCTCATGGAAAGCTACCTTTGGTTCTAAAAGGCTGTCTGGGCAAGGGCAAGTAGTGGGCAAATGGAATGCAGAGCTGAGCTGGGCCTCGCTGGAGGTGGGCCCAAGGCTGGTCCTGGCAGATGGGGTCTTGGGGACCTTCTGGAGATTGGCTTATAGCCAACAGGCTTTCTTAAAATGCCTCTTCCCTCAGTCTGAGTTCCAGCCATGAGGATGGCTACCAGTGCTGGTGGTCATTGTGCTCTGGCCTGGCTTTCTCACCAGTGACCAGTCAGTCAGTGGCTTAGAGATCTATGTGTGTGTGTGTCTGTGTTCGTCCGGGGGGAGTCGTGTGTGTGTGAGGGAGGGTGTGTGTGTGTGTGTGTGTGTGTGTGACGGAGTGTGGGGTATGTTTGTGGAGTGTATGTGTGGGGGGTGGGGGTGCATTTGTGTGTATGGGTGTGTACGGGGTATATACGTGAGGGGGGTATGGTGGTATGTGTGTGTGAGGGGGTGGGAGATGCATTTGTGTGTATGAAGTGCATGTGTGAGGGGGTATGGGATATGTTTGTGGGGGATGGGTGTGTGTGTGAGGGGTGTGTGTGTGTGATGAGGTGGTGGGTGTTTGTGGGGGATTAAGGGTATGTGGGGGAGATGGGGGATGGGTGTGTGTGAGGGGGTGTGGGTACGTGTGGGGGGATGTATGTGGGGGATGGGGTGTGTGTGTATGATGAGGTGGTGGGTATATGGGGGGATGGTTGTGGGGGATGGGTATGTGTGTGAGTGGGGTAGGGTATGTTTGTATGTATGGGGAGGGGAGGGATGGGGGTACGTTTGTGTGTGTGAGGGGGGTGGGGAGTGTGTGTGCGTGTGTGTGTGTGTGTGTGTGTGTATGTGAGAGAGAGTGTGTGTGTTGAAGAGAGGGTGATATTCCTTTGCCAGTCACTGCCTTTCAAGTAACAGCAGTTCATGCCTTCACAACAATCACAGTTTTGGTCAGGATTTACGTCTCCATTTTTAGGTGAGGGAACTGAGATTCAGGTGACGTGATTTGGTCCCAGCATGAGGGTCAGAATCAAGCCTGGCATCGCCTGTCCCTAGCCTCTTCACCCTTCATAGCTGACCCCTAGCCTTCTCTGGTTTTGAGGGTGCTTGGCTGTGGAGCCCTCAGGCTCTTATGTCTTTGCAGCCATGGGCTGATGGTTATGAGCTTGGGTTCACATGGGGTCCCTCCGGGCTCAGGCTAGGACCAGGAGCTGCCCGGTGACCTGGAGGCAGGATGTGGAGCCCTGCCGGGACTGCTTTCCCAGGCCACATTGGTCTCCCTGGTCCCTCCTTTCTGCCCCCGCACGGCTTTGCTGTCATTCTCTGTGATTCTGCTGCTGCCTCTGGCTGGAGAACCCCCCACCCCACGCGGGCTTAGCCAGTTCTCTCGCCAGCTGCGGGAGTGTCTTGTTTCCGGGACATGGGGGCCAGCGTGCAGAGCTCGCTGCTCACGCAGGTGCAGCATTGTGCACGTGTGCACAGAGGAGCGGGCGGGCTCGCGAGGAGTGGGGTGGCAGGGACGCCCCTCCTGCTGCTCGTTGGCTCCTTCCCAGAGTTGACGTGTCACCAAGACCCCACAGTCCAGGGATAGGCAAGAGAAAACCAGGGTTTGTTGTGACCATGTCAGCGTGCCCATCATCCACATTCGGCGGGCATCTGTGTGCCACAGAGGTGGGCACCCGCTGCACATTTAGCTGCTGAAACTTCTTGAGCCTCGGCTTTCACACCAGAGTAATGACAGTTGAGGAAGACGGCACTGCCGGAACATGCCCCAGCATAGTTGGTTTTAGAAGCTGCTGTTTGACTTTTCTTTGTGTCCTCCGAGGAGCCTGGGTCCAGCTCTCTGACTGCACGTGCACAGGGACATGGTGGAGGCTCAGCACATGGCTCCAGAGGGCCATGACCGGCAGCCGTCTCTGGTCCTCGTCCACCGCCTCCCGGGCTCCTGGGGCCAGGCCTCCAGAGGGTGGACCAGATGGGGCTCCGCCAGGCGGGGCTCTAAGCGGCCGCGCTGGTGCCGCGTCTCTTCTTGCACGCTCACCCCTCCCATCCTGGCCCCTCTGAATGTCCTGGCGGCTTGTCCTCTTCCTCTCTGGATTCAGCGTTGCCAGTTTGTACTCCTTGGGACACTGCTTCTGTTCTTCTCTCTTCTAGGAGGTACTCCAAAGCCTGAGCCAGAACAGGTGATAAAAAACTATACCGAAGAGCTGAAGACAGCCCCAGATGAGGTAAGTGTCACGGGAGCCATGCTACATTTGGTTTCGTTTAGAGACCAGAGGTAGCGCCAGAGAAGGATACCAGCCCTTTCTCTGCTGCACGGAGTACTTCCCACGGTGCCTCTGGGGCCGGCCGTGCTCCAAGTACTTGGGTTTAATCTCCCAGGCTCCCCTAGGAGGTGGCCCTGTCAAGAGGAGGCAGCCTGCACTTCAGAGGCCTAGATTCTGATCTTAGCTTTGTCGCCAGTGAGCTGCAGTTCTGAGCAGAGCTCCTGCACAGGCCTCTGTGTGCCCCTCTCCCTGGGCCGTCCTGGCACCTGGGGGTCCTGGAGACCAGGGATGGGAGAGCCTGCCCCACCCACCACGGGCTGAATGGCTTTGTCCCCATAGCATTCCTGCCCCTCTGGCAGGGAGATGGGAGAGCCAACCAGCTTTCGTGTAATTACAGGGCCTGCCGGACCCTCATAGCAGCTTGGGTAGGACCCGAGCCTCTGTGCTGAGCTTTGTTTTGGGGGATGCAGCGCCACTTGTCTCTGATTTGAATGGGGTGTCCCGGGGACTTTGGACAGTGGGCTAAAGGGTGGTCATACTCGTTCGGAACCGAGGACTCTGCCCTGCCTGTCCCTTGAGGCTCTGGCTGATAAAGCTTTAAACAGTGACCTGGAGGTCGTCTTCCTGTCTCCCACTTGACAGCACACGTCTGTGTCCTCGTCTTTGCCCTGTGCTCACCTGGCATGACTGGGCTGCGCTGCACCAGCCTCTTGCCCTCCAGCTGCCACCTGTTCAGCCTACACGCAGCTGTGGTCATGGGAGTGCCCCCACTGTAGAGCACCTCAGCAGGGTCCCCTGATGTGTGAGACGAAGCCCAGCCCTTGAGCTTAGCTGTCAGAACTTTCCAGGACCTCGTCCTGTCCCACTGGTCTCTTACACCCTACTCACCCCTCACCCCCTGCAGTTGCTACCACCCTTCCCAAACTCTGTGCTTGTTCTTGCTTCAGAACATTCTCTTTCCTTTCTCTGGAATGCCCGTGCCTGTGCTTGTCTGCCTGACCAGGTCCTTTCCCCTTGTGACACCCAGTTTTGGGGGGTAGGGGGGTCGTCTCTAAGGAGCCTGCCCTGTTCTGTTCCCTCTCCCTGCCCATGCTCCTGTTACTGCCAAGGCCTCCATGCACCTCCGTGCTCATTGCTGCTGTTGTCCCCTATACTACGGTGAGCCCTCTGAGTGGACAGAATCTGGTGACTCCTCTGTGTTCCCAGCCTCTGGAACAACTCACTGCAGATAGACTGTAATCCTGGCGTTTCAGTCAATGAAAGCTTTTTCTTTTCCTTCCCCCCTTTTGGCGTGGTGGGTCATCCGTGAGCATGCCCTGTGTTGATCTCCTTCCAGGACTGCATCATCTGTATGGAGAAACTGTCTGTGGTGTCTGGGTACAGCGATGTGACCAACAGCAAGACCATTGGGCCGGTGGCTGTGGGCCGCCTCGTCAAATGCAGCCACACCTTCCACCTGCTGTGCCTGCTGGCCATGTACTGCAATGGCAACAAGGTGCCCACACGTCTGCCCCCAGGCTGGGACTCAGGGTGACCTGCCCACAGTCCTGTCCCCATTCTGTCGCATCTGAGCTGGTGACCACTGCTGCTGTGTGAGGGCCCGGGGCACTCAGGTGACCTTGAGATGGCCTGTAGGATAGGGGTTGGCCTCTGGTGCAGGGGGGGCCGAGGGTGGCAAGTGACACCTGGCTGCTCCCCTTCAGTGGAGTTCAGCCGGAATGGACAGGTTAGAAGGACAGAGAGAACTGAGTCATGCGGCAGACCTTCAGACCCGACTTGGTCTCTCCCCACAGATCCCTGTACCACCCCATACCAGCCACGGTGCCAGTACAGTCAGTTGAGAGGTCACAGGGTTTTTTATTTGATTTTAAATATGTTAGACCAGACCATGGAGACTTTTGCTCATAAACCTGATTTTCCTATTCAATGCCCACCCCCTGGTACCTCACGAGCCTGTTAATGAAAACCACTGGAGGAGTTTCTGGTATAGGACATCGTCGCAGGGATGCTCTTGGGATCGGGTTTCTGTGCAAGGAGGGCCCTGCTGGGTGACAGGGGGTTGACCTGAGCCCCTGCGGGCTCTTCCCCTAGACAGCCGGGCAGCGTGCCTGGATGCTCTCGGTGCCAGCTCAGTCTGGGGCACTCTGCTGTGTCTCAGGACGGGAGTTTGCAGTGTCCTTCCTGCAAAACCATCTATGGAGAGAAAACCGGGACCCAGCCCCATGGGAAGATGGAGGTGTTCAAGTTCCAGATGTCCCTCCCTGGCCACGAGGACTGTGGGACAATACTTATAGTTTACAACATTCCTCACGGCATCCAGGTAAGGGGCCCTGGCACAGGAGGAGACTCCTCAGATAGTTCTGGACTCGGTCCCTCTCAGTCTAGGGCACTCTTCTTCCTACCCCACCCCTCTCCCTGTAGTCTGCCCGCCGCCAGAGCACTGAGGATACCCAGGCTTCCCAAGTTCAAGCTCCTAGGAACCAGGAGGCACTAGTGTCTGGAGATAGAACAAACTTTTAGGGCTGTGGAAGCAAAGATGGCCTCCAACCCTTTCCTGATGCAGGGAGGGCGTCCTGGAGGCAGGGACATCTTAGCTGGCCTTGTGCTGGGTGGGAGGCCAAGGGTGTAAGCAGGAAGAACACTTGTGTTGAGGGTCAGGATAGTGGAGGGATCCAGAGGGCGGGGAGGCGCCAATGCTGAGGACTGTCCTTGAGAGTCCAGCTTGGTGGCCAGATCCAGGCCTGTGGCAGGGCTAGGTCTGATGTCAAGAACAAGACAGGAGCCCGAGCAGAAGATCCCAGTAGAGATCCAGACAGGAGCCCTGGACCTGTAGGGAAGGTGTAGGGCTGTGGAAGCCAGGACCCATGTGGGCCCATCGGTGACAGAGGGGGTGTCCCTGTCTTGTTTAACCACATCTTTTCCCTGGTTTTCCTCCATTTCTTCTCAGTGGGTTGTAGTGAATTTTAAAAACATTCCAGACAACCTTAGAACCACAGAGTAGGAGGGGAGTGTGGAGTGGACGTGGCGTGTCTCTGAGGGTCAGAGGGCAGGGGCAATGGTCCCTCACTGTTCCAGCCCCTCACCCTTCTGTCCAGTTTGCCGCCACCATCTCCGGCACCGCCATGGCCCCATCAGGAGCAAGGAGTGAGGGCATCAGGAAGGGAGGCCCAGCCTTCTAGGCCAGAGAGCCCAACGTCCAGAGGGGCACCAGCAGAATGGGACCCCCAGCTTTTGATGAAATCCAGTCTCATCAGGACGTTTGCAGGAGTGTGTGATGCCAAGCCAAGTGGCATGGGGTCAGGAAGGCCGTCACTGCAGGGAGGCTGTGTCATATTGGGTCTCTGAGGGGCAGTATTTTAGACAGTGATTTATTTGGTCACCTGCGGGCATACATAGCCCCAGCTAGGGAGGCAAATGACGGGCCGGGCTGCGAGGGTCTCTGCAGCTGCTGGGCCCTTCTCAAGGTGCCCCACCTCCTCGTGTTTGTGTTCCTTCTCCAGGGCCCAGAGCACCCCAACCCTGGGAAGCCATTTACTGCCAGAGGCTTTCCCCGCCAGTGCTACCTTCCAGACAATGCCCAGGGCCGCAAGGTAAGGCCCCACTACCCTGGTGGACCCCTCCCCCCACCCCGCTGGCAGGCCTGGGCCTGGCTGTTTGTGGGCTGTTTGAGCAGGTGGGATGGGGAGGGCTCAGCTCGGTGGCCAAACCTGCTCTGCCCTGTTTGCCACCTTCTGGGGCTGGCTGGGGTGCAGGCCACCCAGGGCTGCCTGCTGTGCATGAGGTGTCTTCCACCAGGAGAGCCGGCGAGCGGGGCAGGGAGACCGCTTCTAGCACCTGCTCCAGCCGAGTCACCTGCTCTTGAGTCAGGCTAGTGTGATGCAACGGGCAGAGTGGGGACAGGGGAATAGGACTGGGTGACAGGGTTGGCCTGCAAGCCACCGCTGCACTGCACTGTGAACAAGGAGAGCATTCCGGTCAGACAGAGCAGCTTGAGTGGCAGCTTTGAGAGTCACAGAGGTAGGCTGGGCCGGAGAGTGGGAGGAGTCTGGGGAGGACCAGAGCCCCCAGTGTGAGGCATCGGGCGCCCTCTGGCTGCTGTGAGCCTGGCCTGCAGGGGAGCAGAGAAACGTGGATTCCCTGGGGAGGAGCTGACTTGGAAGCAGGCTCAAGTTAGCCTGGCCCGAGTGTGGCAGCGGCACAGTGGGTGGCGGCGCCCTCTGAGGTGAGGGGTCCTCTTAGGCAGTCCGATCAGCATGCAGAGTTCCAGGGGGTTCGAGACTGGAGCTGGAGGCTGGGGATCCCAACAGATGGGGCCCAGGCCTGGGACTGCGGACAAGATCACTTAGGAGAGCGGCCCAGCCTTGGCCCTACAGGTTCACAGTAAAGGTCAAAGGGACAGAGAGCCTAGCAGCCCTCAGTGTGCCCCACCCCACAGCTGGCATTTGGTGGGTGACTGCTCCTGCCGTCCAGGCCCTCATTGCTGGGGCAGATCAGACCAGGGAAGGAGGGGGAGCAGTGGATGCTCTCACCCTGTCACCTGGCCACCCACTGCTCCAGGCTGAAAAACCCATGCCCAGGTTTGCACTTGTTCACCAGGCCCTCCCTCCTTTCCCCTCCCTCCTTTCCCCTCCCTCCTTTCCCCTCCCTCCTTTCCCCTCCCTCCTTTCCCCTCCCTCACCTTTCCCCTCCCTCCTTTCCCCTCCCTCACCTTTCCCCCTCCTTGAGGGCAGGTCCTGGAGCTGCTGAAGGTGGCCTGGAAGAGGCGACTTATCTTCACGGTAGGGACATCCAGCACCACGGGAGAGACTGACACAGTGGTGTGGAACGAGATCCACCACAAGACGGAGATGGACCGCAATGTGACAGGCCATGGCTACCCCGACCCCAACTACCTGCAGAACGTGCTGGCTGAGCTGGCTGCCCAGGGGGTGACCGAGGACTGCCTGGAGCAGCAGTGAGCCCCCGGCCTGGCCGGCCCCATCCCTGCCCTGCCTCTGGCAGCCAGCAACCCTCTCTCCCCGCTGCCGGCTGGGCTGCCCCTGGGATGGGCAGGCTGGAAGGTGCCTTTCCTCAGAGGCCGTGAGGTTTGTGGGGGCCCGCCTTCCGCCCCCATCCTCCCCTCCAGGCCCGGATCTACAGGGGAATTGGGCAGGCCTGGGGAGTTATACTTGTGAGGGCTTAAGATGCAGCTACCTCAGTGCGCGGGGGGCCCTGTGCCCTTGGCAGGCTGCTTCGTGTCCGTGGTGCCAGGGGCCTGGCGTGGGGTGAGGCGAGACTGCCCCATCCCCCATTGTAGCCAGGGCAGGCATGGGTTCTGGGTCAGCTTCTCATACCTCAGATGTTCTGTTTGCAATAAATGCCCTATAGCCAAAGTCAGCAGGTCCTGGTGTGTTTATTGGTGGAGAGGTGTGTGTGTGCGTGTGCGCGCGCGCACGTGCGCACACTGATGTGAGAAGACAGCACACACATACATGCCTTGCTGCATCAGGGCAGGAGGGAGCTCACACACTGCCAGTTCGACTCACATTTTCCCCAGTGACAAAACTGAGGCCGCAGCGAAGGCCCGAGAGCCCACGCACCGGCCTTTGCTGCTTCCCCATCGCCAACTTCAGTTCTCGCCGTGTGTGGTCCTGCAACGACGCCAGGCCCACCATCCCATTCACTCCCGCAGTAAAACACTGCTTATGTGTGACTGGTGCTGCTGTCTTCCGTGTTATAGGTGAGGAACCGGTCAAGGATGCAGCAACCGGCCCAAGGTCCCAGGCTCGTGCTAGAGCCGGGGCTGGAATTGGGCCAGAATTGGTCTGATGTCATCCTTGAAGTCCTAATTCTCAACCCTCTTAGGAGCATCAAATACCCCAGGCCGCTGTCTGCCTGGGGGCAGCGATTGGGGCCTGGGGCTACAGGGCCATGGGGCCACGTCCTCAGTGGGCCAGGGATACTTCTGCCTTCTCGAGTCCTTTTCTCCATAAGAAAAAAAATTAAGTTCTATTTTATGATGTGTGAGTATAATGACAAGTATATATTAGAGCATTTTTTTCCATCTAAAAATTTGAGTGTCTTGGGGCCCCTTGCTAGCTCAGTCGGTAAAGCATGCAACTCTAGATCTTGGGTTCGTGAGTTCGAGCCCCACATTAGGTGTAGAGATTACTTAAAAATAAAATATTAAAATAATAAGTGGTTACCCTCTGACTCAGCAGTTCCACTCCAGGTGTGTATCCAAGAATGGAAAACAGGTCCACACAAAACTTGGGCATGAGCGCACATGACAACCTTCCTTACAATAGCCAAAAAGTGGGACTATCTGTCAGCGGAGGTGCCGGTAAACAAATGCCGGGCATCCGTGCAGTGGGATGAAGTTCGCAGCCCTGAGGACGAGCGAGGTCTCGCCTCGCGCCATTACGTGCATGAACCTGGACCACAGGATGCTCAGTGACAGAAACCAGACATGAAAGGCCACTTGTGTGGTTCTGTCAATGTGACATGTCCGGCACAGGCAAGCCCACAGAGGCTGAGAGCAGATGCATTGTCAGCGGAGGATAAGGGAATGGGGAGTGACTTTCAGTGGGTACAGAATGTTCTCTTGGGGTGTCACAAATAAATGTTCTGAACTTGGTGATGCTTACACAACCTTGTGAAAACCCACTGAGCTGTACACTTTAAAAGGATGAGTTTTATGCTATGTGAATTATATCTTCTTTTGAATTATATCTTAATAAAAAAAATAGAGCCAAAGGGAGTAAAGTGGGAGGCTTGTCAGCTGTCAGAGGTCCTTCCTCTGCCTCCAGATTCTTCCTTCAGACAATGTGGCTTCGTAGAGGGAGGGCAGGGAGCAGAGATGGCAGCAGGACCAGGGGGGCTGTGGTGGGGCTAGAGCTGGACAGGTCGGGGCCTCTGCTCTGTTCCCCACTTCCTGGGTGGGGATGGAAGGCCAGAGGGAGGCTCCTGGCACCTGGGGTGCGGGAATCTCAGGCATGTGGCCCTGAGCCCATGTTTCCAAAGACTGGGTCCTCTCCAGTGCTGGGAGGCTGGGTGGGACCCCTATTCAGTCTCTGGCAGCCTGGCTGGCATCTGGGGATCCAGTGGCATCCCCCTCCCTCCCGGCAGTGGGGCCTGGCACTGGCCTGCCCCACCTACAGCCCTGCCCAGCTCCCTCCTCATGGTAGGCTGGGCTGCTGGGAGGGGTGGGGTGCGTTTACATTTTCAGGTCTTTCCAGCCCTTGGCCAGCCTGGAAGCCTGACTAACCAGCTCCTCCAGGGTCAAGGTGTTGGGGGAGGGGGTGCAGCAGGAGGTGGCCAGATCAGCCCCAGGCTGTGGATATGGAAGAAGCCCCAGTTTGGGCAGCCATCATGGGGCTCCCCCAGAGGCCGCCTGGCCCATCACTGCTTCTCCTCCTTATGGGGTCGCTGGTCTGGCCCCCGCCCTGTATGAGCCTGGGTGAGTGGGGGTCCTGGGATGAATTCACCTGGACAGACCCTAGGAGCCCACCCCTCCAGCTAGGAGAGGCAGCCCCAGGGAAGACAAGCCCCAGGACCCTCATGCTTATCTCCGTGGCTACAGAGCTGATCCCCTACACGCCGCAGATAACCTCCTGGGACCTGGAAGGGAAGGTCACAGCCACCACGTTCTCCCTGGAGCAGCCACGCTGTGTCCTGGAAGGGCATGCCAGCGTTGCCAACACCATCTGGCTGGTGGTGGCCTTCAGCAACGGTGTGTCATGGTGCGGGTCTGGGGCTGAGGAGAGCTGCAGGGAGGTGGACTGGGCATTGGGCTTTATCCTGAGGGGCTCCGAGAGGGTGACAAAGTGACTGCAGACTGATTTGTGTCTGGAGGGAGCCTCTGGGCCCTAAGGCATAGAGACCCAGGGCTGGGGGGACCTTGGACCTGCATGGGGCTATATCCCCTAGCCCCATCCATCTGTCCCTTTCTCCCACAGCCTCCAGGGACTTCCAGAACCCACAGACGCTAGCTGAGATCCCCGCCTTCCCACGGCTGCTGACTGATGGCCACTATATGACGCTACCCCTGTTCCTGGACCAGCTGCCCTGTGAAGACCCCGTAGGTGGCAACAGGGACATCCCCCTGCTGCGGGTGGGCAATGACCCTGGCTGCCTTGCTGACCTCCATGAGCCACCCTACTGCAACACCCCCCTCCCGAGCCCTGGATCTTACAGGTGGGTCATTCTGCCTGGGCCCTGGGACGGGGCCTGTGCTGGGGGAGAAGGGGCCTGGGGGAACAGGGCTGCCCTCCCTAGCCTCTCCCTAGGGCCCCATCCTGGTGGCAGGCCCCTCCCCTTCACAAGCCTTGGTGGGGTCAGGGAGCAGCACTCATCCCAGCTGGGGGCCAGGCAGAATGTGGCCTTGCCAGGAGACCTGCCCCAAAGAAGAAGTGGGCACCACAGGGCTTGTGGGGGCAGGGTGGGGTCTCAGGCCCAGAGTCGGGGGTGGGGAGCTGCCAGGCTGCTGCCACTAGCCCGCTGGGTAGATCTGGTAGGAATCTGAGCCCAGGGCTGAGTCCAGACCCATTCAGTGGGTATGAGACAGGGAAACAGGAAAGCCTACTGCTCTCTTTTACAGGTGAAGAAACAGGCACAGGGCACCAAGGGCTTGTCAGTTTCACAAGGGAGCCAGAGTGAGAGAGCAGGTGTCCAGATGAGGGCTGTCTGGGCCACAGGACAGGACCAAGTGTCCTCAGGGAGACCAAGTCCAGCTGAGAGAACCAGCATGGGGGACAGGGAAGGTGGGGCTTGGTGTGGGCTGGACAGGCACCTCTGTTAACAGCCTCTCTCTGCCCTCTCTCCGGCCCTGACAGGACCACCTTCCCACCTCCCCCCATGGCCACTTCCTGGCTCGGCCTCATCTCACCTCCTGCCCCAATTCCTAGCAGCCATCAGAGCTGGCTGCTCTCCATGCCAGCCTGCCTGGGCCCCTCCATGCTCAGACACCTGCCAGAGCCCCCCACCTGGCAAGGTCTGCATGGCCTCTGGTGCCCTCAGGTCTCAGCCTGCCCCCTCCCTGTGATCCCAGGCTCTGAGTATGCCCTGACCACACCTCTCCTCCCTGGGCCTTTGCTTAGGGTGCCCAAACCTACTGGGGAGCCTTCTATGGCTTTCTAGATGTCACTCAGCCAGCCGTTCTTCTCTGAGAGGCCTGGGGCCCCCAGCCCTGTCTGACACACACCCCGAGGCACTCTGTATGTGACAGTGACTGGGGCCCCCGAAACCTGATGGGGAGTCTGGAGACCAATGGCTCAGATGGACTGGGGCTGGTGGCAGAGGTCACTGTGGCCAGAGAGGTCTGGGAGGTCTCTCAGAGCAGGACCAGGCCATAGGCCGTGGCTGGTCCTGATGGGCCCTATGAGAGCCTGGCCCAGAACAGCCTGGGGCTTGGCTGCTGTGGGCACCCTGTCCAGGGCAGCTGAGGCTCTGAGCCTCACTCCTTCTCCTCTCCCCAGGGTGAAGTTCCTCCTGATGGACGCCAGGGGCTCACCCCAGGCCGAGACCAGGTGGTCCGACCCCATTACTCTCCAACAAGGTAGCGCAGGGGGGCAGGGCTGCTCTGGCTCCAGTCTGCCCTGCGGACCAGTCTCCCTCTGCAAAATGGTCCTGCTCAGCCAGCCCCTCCCCCTGCTACCATGATACTGGGGGCCTGGAGGAAGTCCCCAAGTCCAGCCCACCTCCCCCAAGAACCTCCTGCTGGGGGCAGGGGGCACTGGTTTGGCCTCACTGGCAGAGACACCAGCTCTGTCCATCCATGTCAACCCTTGGGTGCCCAGGTCCCAGCCCAGTAGTGGGCAGAAACAGCCTTCCCTCCAACAGGGAGCCAGCCCTGGGCCAAGCACTGCCAGGGTGAGAAGGGCCAGGGCACAAAGGAGGCTGGGGTCAGAGTCAGAGCCACGGGATCTGGAAGGCCTCCCTCAGCAGGCCCCTAAGGGGCCGGTGACCCACCAGCCTGAGGAAACTGCATGTAGGAAGGCCAGTGTCCAGGGTGCGGGACACCCGGGAGACTGACTGTAGAGGCCAGGGTGTTGGGGGGGGGGCGGTGGCAGCGGGGGCTCTTGTTGTCTGAAGGCCTTGAATGGCAGGCTCCAGGGAACATGGCAGCCACACAGCCAGTCCTGAGGGCAGCCGCAGCTCTGCCCGCCATGGGCTACACTACCCATGTAGTGGGTGGGCACGTTGGCAAGAACAGCCTAGAAAGTGAGACTAAGAAAAAGGCTGGAGTGGTGGTGGGTGGTCCGGGCTGGCAGGACACTGATGCCCAGCTGGGGTGGACAGATGGGTGGGCTCAGGAGGCTGTCTTGGGACTCGAGGCAGTCAGGCCTTGAATGTGAGCCTCAGTGGAGAAGTGACCGCCCTGGGCTGGAGGGGCAGCCTCTGAGCCTACACTGTGTGCAGGGAAGGCCCCAAGCTCTATCGACACGTGGCCAGGGCGGCGAAGCGGTGACATGATTGTCATCACCTCCATCCTCTCCTGTCTGGCCGGCCTCCTGCTCCTGGCCTTCTTGGCAGCGTCCACCATGCGCTTGTGAGTGCTGACATCCTCGTGGGCCCCTCCCCCACCCGGAGCCCCATCCCCCTCACTGGTCCCAGCACCTGTCAGCCCTCCAGGGACACTGCGGCTGAGCTGGCAGTGCCCCTTCCAGGGTGTGCGGGAAATTTCCGCCCTGAGCATCTCCCACCGGATGGCAGTGAGGTAGCCCAGCGGCTCCTCTGATGACAGGTTCAGAGAAGGGGCCACCTCCCTTTGCCTTGTCCTTCAGTGTGTCCTTGGCCCCAGCCTTTTCCCTCCCGGGCCGTGTTTTCTCTCCAAGGAGGCTTCAGTGAACTGAAATCAGGGTAGTCAGGGCAACCTCCTGGAGGAGGTAGGCCAGAAGCAGGTTCTGGAAGGAAGGAAAGGGAGAGGCTGTGGATAGAGGCCCTGACATGGCAGATGGCTCCCCCCAGCACAGACTCAGTATGGTCTCCTCTCCCCATCCAGCTCCAGCCTGTGGTGGCCCGAGGAAGTCCCCGAGCAGCTGCGGATTGGCTCCTTCATGGGAAAGCGCTACATGACCCACCACATCCCACCCACCGAGGCTGCCACCCTACCCGTAGGCTGTGAGCCTGGCCTCGACCCTCTCCCCAGCCTCAGCCCCTAGCCTGGCCGAAGGTTCTGGGGCGGGGCCATGGGAAGTTGGGGGACAAGTACACAGTGAGTTCCCAGCCCCTGTGCCCACATGCCCCTCCCCCACGGCACTTCCCCATCAGCCTGTAGCCCTGCCTTTGCCTTTCTCGTTCTGCCCTCTCCAGGCAACTGAAGTTGCATTCCAGTCTGGGGGAGGGTAGTGGTCAGGCTAGCATGCAGCTCCCACTTCCACCCCTACCTCTGTTAGAGGTAATGCGGAGATGCCACACTGACCAGAATTTTCCAGGCTCCGGGAGGGGCCCTGTGGGGGGCCTTATTCTGCCCTGTGCAGGGGACTGGGACACGCCCACCACCGGGTGTATGAGGTCCAAACCTCCCTCTGTCTCTCTGTCCCACTTTCCAGTGGCTGGGGCTGCAGTGTAGCCTTTAGAGGTACCTCCATTGTCCCCCGGCAGGGGTGCTTCCTGAGGGTGGCCAGAAGGTCAGAATGTAGAGACACATTGTGACCATCTGACCACTGATTCCACCACTTCCGATCTCATTGCACACACAGATGGCTTACTTATTCTCGCTCCACCAGCATTTATTAAGCACATGCTGTATGCCACTGCCAATGTTAGACATGGAGCCTCAGGAGGAACCAGTCTTGAACTTGGGGAGCTCACTCACCACTCTGGACCGGAGATGACCACGTGTCTAGATGTGACTTGCTACTGTTAGGGCTGTCAGATTGTCACATGCCCTCGGGTTCACGCTCCTTATATGCTCACCCCATGGGCTCTCTGAGGCCCTGGAGCCCCCCACCATAGGCAGTACACACTTTAGACTTCCCCCTAGCGTCCGTCTGCTCGCAAGGCCGGTGGTTCCTGCTTTGGCCTCACGGTGGCGCCGGTGCGCCGCAGCCGTCCGGCCCCGCGCACGCGCACTCATTCTCAGACCCCCGCCTGACGCAGTTGGCTGGCTGGTCCCAGCAGTGAGCTGAGGAGCCATCGCCACTTTCTGGAAGTCAGGGCTCCAGATTTCGTCTCGGATAAACCAGAGGGATGAGCAGTCACGCACTCGCTTGAGGGCTGTCCAATCTACACAGCCGCCACCATTTTCTAGATGGAGAAACTGAGGCTGGGTGACTTGTCCTCCACGCTCTGCCCACTGCCGCTCACCCCCCCACTACCACTCCCCTCTTGTCCCCGGGCCGCTCCTATCTTCGCCAGTGGGATCTCGGCTCCCAGCATGCAGCCCCACCCCTCCGCCCCTGGACGGCACCCAGCGGTGACCCATGTATACCCGCCCTCTTCAGAGGTGAATAAACTCGCTCCTCCATCCCCTAGTGGTGCCCGCGCTGGTTTGGGGAGGAGCATCTCCCCTTCAAGCCCCTTCAAGCCCCGGGTCTGCCCTGAGCCTGTCCTTTTGAAGGACAGCCCCAGCTGCATTTTCGAGGTGCCCCATGGAAACCCACCCTTGCATCTCAGGGCGGAGAAGCCAACCACTAATGCGGCTTCCGTGCGCTTAGCAGTATTGCCTCCCAGGTCAACACTTGAGGGAGATTTTGCTTTAAAAATGCATGAACCCCTGGTCCCTAGCAGTTTGTCCCCCATCCTACCTGCAAACCCATCAGTCGCAGTACCTCCTCCAGGTGCAGGGAAAAGCAGTCAGGAGCTCAGGCTCTGGTGTCCTGGGTGACACCTGGCCCCGAGAGCCAGCCCCTTTCAGCAGCTGCTTTTGAAATGCTGCTGCTATGCAACCTAGGTTCCTCTTGGCCTCTTGGAATTAAAGAAAGGTTAAAAGTGCCTTCCGTCCTCATCAGCTATGTCCAGTAGAGCCTGTCTCACGCTGTCCTGTCCAGGCCTGGCTCCAGCACCAGATAGAGAGGCCCTCCGCGCCCAGACACCCAGCTTAGGGCCTGCCCAGGCGGGTATGGCGAGGCGGAAAAGGGTTCCACTGGTATTTGCTGGGTGAAAACAAGAATGAACCGGCCCAGGGTTGGAGGACCAGGCAGGCGCAGGAGTTGCCCCGAGGTTCTGTGTGTCCGAGGGCCCTCTTGTGGCTTATTCTTAGTGCCCGAACCTGTGCTGATCCCAGGCACAGCCCCAGCAATGTCCCCTGTGTGCGCGGGGCACCTGGAGCCCTGTGAGGAGCTGTGCTTACCCCATCCGACCATGTGGGGCTTGACCATGAAGACAGGCTCAAAACAGACACTGCAGCACAGTAGGTGAAGTGGGCCAGGGGAGTGGGGGTGGGGGGTGACCCCACCTGAGGTCAAGGGGGCTTCCCAAGGGTGAGTTCTGGGATGAGTCTTGAGGGGTACATGGAAGTGAGTCAAGTAGGAGTGGAGGGAGGGAGGAAGAGAGAGCGAGAGAGTCAGGGAGACCAGGTGTGAACAGTCTCCCCCTTGGTGGCACAGATGGTGTGATGGTGCCCAGGGGCCAGCAGCTGGGACAGGGGGCCGGCACAGGGACTAGGAGCCAGGAGGCCATGGCAGGGGGCACTGGCCTGGTCTTCCAGGCAAATGGAACAGGCCTGAACCAGGGCAGACAAAGGGGGTTGGAGAAGAGGAAGTGGATTCCACAATATTCATGAGGTGGCCCCAAGGCACTGGGACTTCATAGATGAGGGCGATACCCCAGGAAAGGCCGTGCTCGGGTTTGTGATGGCGGCTGGGGTGTGTGCCTGGAAAATGGAGGCGCTTTATGTTCTGAAAGTGGTTCTGTCCCCCAGCTTGCTTCAGAGCAGACTTCTGGAAAAGGGGGTTCTGGGGACACAGTCTTCACAGACGGGTGTATTCAGAAGAATGTTAACAAGTTGTTAATATTTTACAAGGATGGAACCTGTCCTGGGCCGGGGGAGGCCATCCTGTGAGTCCTCCAGACTGGGGATGTTCTGGCCCAGGGCCCTGGTGACCAGCATGCCAAGGTGTCACAGGAGCCACACGGAGCGAGGGCAGCAGGGTTGGTCATGGCCTGGCACGGGCCCCAGGGAACCATGCCAGGGCATTCTCCCCCAGAATCACCCAGTGGGTCACCAGCTGGACCCCAGCCCCGCACGGGCCAGCTCGTGACAGCCTTGAGCAGAGCTTGTAGTGACAGCCATGTGATGGTGAATCTTTTATTAAATAGCATTTTAAATGTTTCCCCAGGGCTGTATTTGAGGGAGGGCCTCCAAACCCACTGGCGTATAAGGTAATGGCTCAGTGGATAAAAACAAGTTCATTGTTAAAAAGGAAAAAACAGCAGCGATTGTGGGGGTGATGACTCACAGATGACTCATCAGACCAAAAATCAAAGGAATCAGGATGACAGCAGGTGGAAACCAGGCGGGGGTGGGGGTGGGGGTGGGGGTGGGGTGGGGGTGGGCACTAAGCACTCCCTCGCACCCTCTGGGTTCTCTTCCCCTGTGCCTCTGAACCATCCGTTCCTCCCATCACCCCTGCAGTCCCCAGCCAGCCACCCCGCCTCTAGCTGGTCTCTCCGCACCAGCGTTCCCTGCCCCCTCCCAGCATCCTCTTCCCAGTATCCAGAGGGACCAGATTGTGAACCTGATGGTTCCACCTTTGCCCACAACTTGCAGAGACTTCCTGCCGCGAGACCGGAATCTAGATCCACCATCTCAGTTTCAAGCCCCGTTGATCCATCCCTTATTCCCTGTATTCCAGCCTCACAGGTTCCTGGAGCCAAAGTCTGACGTTTAATCGACTGAGCCACCCAGGCGTGCCTTCACATTCTTTTTTTTTTTTTAAATCAGCTTCAGGGGCGCCTGGGTGGCTCAGTCAGTTAAGTGTCAGACTCTTGGTTTCAGCTCAGGTCATAATCTCACAGTTTGTGAGTTCGAGCCCTGCATCAGGCTCTGTGCTGACAGCACGGAGCCTGCTTGGGATTCTCTCTCGCCCCCCCCCCGCCCCTCCCCTGCTCACTCTCTCTCTTTCAGAATAAATAAATTTAAAAACGTATCAGCTTCATTGAGATATAATTCAAATACCATGCAATATACCCACTTACAGTGTTCCGTTCACTGAATTCTGGCATATTCGTAGACCTGTCCATTCATCATCAATACTATCAACTTGAGAATATTGTAATCATCCTAAAAGACACCCTATGCCCACAAGGCAGTCACTTCTGTCAGTCTCTGGCAACCACTCATCTACTTTCTGAACATTTCATAGAAACGGTGGTCCTTTGTGACTGGCATCATTTTTTGGGAAAAGAAAACAGGAGCCCTGAGATTTGCCTGTCATGGGTTCTGTCACTCACTGCTCCTCTCATTTGGCTGAATCACTTAATCATTTTTAACTGGGCAGAGCTGCATCCTAGTGGGAGTAAAAGTAGAGTCTCTTTCACACACCCAGGAAACCGTCAGGAAGCTCAGGCTCCACAGGGCCCAGGACCCCCCACACCAGTGTGTTCTCAGCCACAAACAGTGCAACACTGGGACCAGGAACCAACTTTGGTGAGCTAGGTGGGGGGAAGGAATGTTCTAGAAGAGCTTGGGTAGCACCTGGAAACTCCAAGAGCCAGAGTTGGAGACCACATGAGTCCTAGTGCAGAACAAAGCTGCGTTCCTTGGGTCTCACCGTGAGAGCTTCTGGTCTGGTCACCTCTGGGGGCTGGGCATGGTGGTCACTTCTTTGGTGTGGGTGCGTGATAGGTGGGCACCCTGGCTGCGCGGGTGCCTGGGAAGTCACACTCTCCGGCAGCTGCAGTGGGCCTGCGCACTGGTGTACATGGCTGTGAGTGAGAGGCTGCATCCTTGAGGAGAAGGGACACCTTTTTGTGATTCTCACAAAGATGTCATGTGGTCAGTGCTGGCTCTGGGAGTGCACGTAGCAGGAAGGCGATGTCCCAGCCATAGGAAGGGTGTGGCAGGAGCTGCCAGGACAGAATGGCATCTTTCCCTCCAGGAAGGTGGCTGGGCCCAGTTGCATTAAATTTAGAGCTTTGCTGGGCTCCGTGACTATCTGCCCTCTAGAAAGGCCCCCAGGGCCCGTGTTGGGGAGAGCAAGGGCCTCTCCAGGGTCGAGCCCTTAGACTTGTTACACCTCACCTGTGAGCCTTAGTGTTCATGTCTGTACAATGGATCAATCATTCTCTTCAACCAGGGCTGCTGTGAGGGGCAGTGAGATGCGATGGTTCAAGGGATCTGACGTGTAGATGTTCAATTAATGAGTTTTCCGATGTTCCTCTAAGATACCTTTTGTTATTTCAGGGGAAGACAGAGCTGTCACTTTGACCTTTCATCGCCGCCATCCCAGAGCCCCCTCCCTGTTCTGCAGGATGGGGACATGAGAAAGCTTTGCAAGGCTTGTCCCTCCCCGCTGTCCATAGGGCCTGGAGCACAGACAGGGCATAGCCAGCTCCTGGCCACACAGCTGGGCAGCAGGCCCCTGGCAGCCCAGCCCACTAGCTCCCTGGAACCCTTTCTGCCCCTGCCCCCAGCAGCCTGGGAAGCTGCCTGGCCTGAGGTGGAAGGCACCATGTTCTTGGGCGGGGGCCCCCATGAAACAGAAGCAAAGAGACACAGCCCTCACCCCTCACTCTGCAGCCTGCCTCCCAGACCCGCTCCTCCAAGGGGAGGGGGAGGGCTGGTGTGGGGGATGGAATTCAGCTAAAGAGATAATTAAGTAAGGCCTTTAGGGTGGGATGTAATCCAGTCTGACTGGTGTCTTTATAAAAGAGTAGGACATGGGGCGCCTAGGGGGCTCAGTTGGTTAAGCACCTGACTTTGGCTCAGGCCATGATCTCACAGTTAGTGGGTTCAAGCCCTGCATCTGGCTCTGTGCTGATAGCAGCTTCAGAGACTGTGTCTCCATCTCTCTCTGCCCCTCCCCCACTCATACTCTGTCTCTGTCTCAAAAATAAATAAAAAACATTAAAAAATTAAAAAATAAATAAAAGATTAGGATCAGGAGTCACAGAGATGCAGTACAGAGGAAAGAAAGAGCACGTTACCAGGCAGCGAGAGGGTAGCCATCTGCCGGCCAATCTCAGAAGAAACTAACCCAGTGGACTTGATCTTGATCTTGATCTTGCCTCCAGAACTGTGACAAAATAGATGCTTGGGTTTTGTTTTTTGTTTTTAGGTAGGCTCTATGCTCAACGTGGGGCTTGACCTCATGACCCCAAGATCAAGAATCACATGTTCCTTTTTTTTTTTCATTTTATTTATTTTTGAGAAAGCGACAGAACACGAGCACAGGAAGGGCAGAGAGAGAGGGAGACACAGAATCCGAAGCAGGCTCCAAGCTGACAGCAGAGAGCCCCACATGGGGCTTGAACTCACGAACCGTGAGATCATGACCTGAGTCGAAGTCGGGACATTTAACTGACTGAGGCACCCAGGCACCCCCAAATTGCATGTTCCATCCCCCACACTGGTCCCAACCTGGATGCCCCTGACTCCTGAGGCAGAGCCTCGAGAGCGAGACAGGAACCTGGGGTTCTGTATGCCTTGTTTGCTGGGTGAGCCCCACCAGGCAGCCCCGCCCTCCTCCCCTGGCCTCAGTTTCCCCTCCGTATAACGAGCGAAGACCTCTGAGCTTTTGGTTCAGACCCTCCAGCCCTGGCCTCCCCAAAACCCCTCTCCGGGTGGATGACACAGGCTAGAGTTACCCACAGGAAAGAATGTGTTGCCCTTGACAACAATTCTTCTCCGTGACTTCTCCCCCTGAGGGACGGAGAGGAATGCCTCATTAGTCATCCTGGCTTCTCCCTCCCGGTCCCCAGGTCCCCAGTCCGGCTCCCTCTGCCACTCCCTACCTCTCCCACAGTGGAAGTGGCCCAAAGCCCCTCCCTCAAGTGTTTTATGGAACCTCCAGGCTCAGCTTTGCCCTCCCTGTTCTTGTCTGAGCCCCAACTCCATAGCGCAGGGGCAGAGGGAGAGCCCCCAGGGTAGAGGGTGCCATGGGGTGGGGTGAGGGGTGGCCGGAAGCGTTGGGGGCTGAGAGGGGGCCTCAGTTTATCAGGCGTCTCAGGGTGCCTCTTTGAGGGGAGTCCTTTGCGGTCAGAGCTGCTGGGCTCTCTGATGGCCTGTTGAGGGGATGAGTGGATAAATTGCCCACTTTGGGATGCCCGAGTGGCTCAGTCGGTTGAGCATATGGCTCTCATTTCAGCTCAGGTCATGATCCCAGGGTTGTGGGATCGAGTATGGAGTACGGAGCCTGCTTAAAATTCTCTCTCTCACTGCCCCTCTCCCCAGCTTACACTCTCTAAATAAAAAAATAAATAGGGGTAGGCCCACCTGCCCCAGGCTTCAGTGGGTCGGAGACGAACAAGAGCTGCTTGCCTCTTGGCCCCTAAATTGTGCGCTTTTACTCAAAGGAGGCACCCCCACTACTGAAACAGCTTTCTGGTTTATGATTCCAGGTATCTGATGCTTTCACTATCCCGGGGAAGCGGTGAGCTGCCTGTCTCCAGCAAGGCACCCGCAGAAGCTGAGGGAGCTGGGTCACTGTGCCGGGGAAAGATTCAGGACCAGGGTGAGGTCAGTGAGCTGTGGGGTCTGTTCCCACCGGGATTAGCACAGCTGGGTCTCTCTCAGCGTTTGGTGAGCGGCCCCTAGGCTAAACTGGGGCAGGGGGAAGGGACTGGGTCACCCATACTTCCCCTCCCTGCACAAAGTTCCAGGCTGCCCCTGAAGGTGCCGGAGCCTTTCCGGCTGTGATGGTAGCCATGGAGCTGGTGGGTGGGCCTTTGGGAGCATTTGTCTGGCTGCCCTGTGTTTGGGGGCAGGTGGAAGCCGCACCTCATCCTATGAGTCACCCCAAAGGTACAAGGCAGGGTAGGTCCTTGGGAACAGACTATCCCCTGGGGCTTGGCATGGCCCCCACCCAGTCCTTCTGGGCGTCCTGGGCCCACTCCCTTCACACGGGAACTCACTGGGGCTGAAGACATCTGGACCAGGAAGAGGGGACCCTACAGAGAACCTGGTCTCTACCCAGAAGCCATCACTTCTGGGGTCATGGGATGGATCCCTTCATTGGGCTCCATGTTGGGCAAGGAGCCTGCTTAAGATTCTCTCTCTCCTCTGTACCTCTCCCTCCTGCTCATTCTCTCTCTCTTAAGAAAAAAACCCCAAAAAGCTGGGGAGTTAAAGAAAGCCCTCCCAGGGCAGGGTCTGACCTAGACCCTCTGGTTAGCCTCCACCCTTCTCTCCTCCGCACCCCGCAAGTACAGGAGGGCCAGTGCCTGCCTTCACGGAGCTGTCAGCGTGTGCAGGGTCACCCTTGATGTAACAGCGCATGACATTACAGTGATTGGGAGATGGAGATGTGTCCCAGGGGAGCTAGGGTGCTCGGGGAGGATTTAGGGAAGCACCAAGGCTGACCAGAGTGCATTTCTTGTAGTGCTAGCCCCTGGGGCAGGAAGGACAGGGGGTTGCTGGGGGTTGCAAGGGCCTAAGACGGAGACGGGCCTGAGTAAAGGCGCGGAGGTGTGGAACAGCAGGAGCTTAACCAGGTGACTTGGTGGCCTCTCCGCTCAGGCTCCCCCCCGCGTGCACCCCCAGACTCACCCTGACCCCATTCTCATTTCCCTTCCCTGACCTTTGTTGTTGTTTTTAATCTTAATTATATTTTATTTTTTAAATATTTTTATTTATTTCTAGGAGAGAGAGAGAGACAGTGTGAGCAGGGGAGGGTCAGACAGAGGGAGACACAGACTCCGAAACAGGCTCCAGGCTCTGAGCTGGCAGTCAGCACAGAGCCCGACGCGGGGCTCGAACCCACGAACCGCGAGATCATGACCTAAGCGAAAGTCGGACCCTTAACTGACTAAGCCACCCAGGCTCCCCTAATCTTAATTTTATTTACTTTTGTTTTTTTTCTTTTCTTTTCTTTCTTTCTTTACTTTTAAATTGACGTCCAAGTTAGTTAGCATACAGTGCAATAATCTCAGGAGTAGAATCCAGTGATTTCCCTGAGCTTTTGTTCTGGCTTGGCCCCCAGTTCCCCTGGGGGCTGAGTCAATCAAGAAGGAAATAGAGTGATTTCCAATCTTGAAAAATCTGAAACTCTCTGCTACCATGCCAGAGTACAGAGAGTTGGTCACGAAAAACCTACCAGGCAGTTACAGAGTTGGTAGGAGTATTTGCCCCTTTTGAAGGTCACTGTCATAAACAGTTGGCACAGTTTAAATACTTTCGGGAAAAAAAATAGTGTGCGTGGGCTGGCGATCGAATAGCATGTAAATGCATCATAATAACTAGAGAATATTTACAATTGTTTTTTAAAAATGTTTTTTTAAAGTAGTTCCCGAACCCGGCCGGCTGGCTGGGTGATCTTGGACAAGCCCCTTTCTCTTCATGCTCGACTAGAAAGTGAGGGTAACTCCCTTCAGCACAGGGCGATGGTGGGGGGCCCCAAGTGCCAGGTTGGGACTGTTGGCAAGGCTGTCACTGGGGCTACTGGGGACCCTGGAGCTGCCACCTCCTTCCTCGGCCCCTCCCTGGCCAGGCCCTCCTGGAGTGGGGGGTGGGAGCATCCACGGGCTTGTCCAGGCGGCGCAGCAACTGATTGTTCTCTTTGGACCCCTCCCTGGGATGCCAAATCCTCGGGGCCAGCGGATTCTGCCCCAAACCTGTCCGACCAGTTGTTTGGGAAGAGGGGGCGCCTGGGAGGAGCCGCGGGAGGTACCAGAGGCAAGCTCTCCAGGCCCTGGTGGACAGCAGAGGCTCTGGGACGCTGCAGACAGACCCTTGGACAGACAGACGGTTAGACACTTGGCCTGGCCATGGGGCTCGGTGGGGGACAGTCTCGGCTGCTGGTGCCACTGTTGCTGCTGTTGACTTGCCTCCAGCGGGGGACAGGCCTGGGTGAGTGAAGGGGGGCAGGGCACCGTGCCTCTGGCTTCAGGAGGACAAGCTGCCTCCCAAGCCCCAAGTCTGGGGCCTGGAGCCTGGGTGGGTCAGGGGAGATGGCCCACCACAGAGGTCACAAGACAGACACCTGTCCCCGTGCCACAAGATAGGGGTCTGCGCAATGCTTTCTCCCTCTCTTTAGGGTTCTTATGCCCATTCGTCCTGAGCCCCCATCCGGTTCTCACCAAATGCCTCCCCTCCTTCTGTCCCTGAGGAGAGGTTTAAACAAGTCTATAAGGTCGGCTCCCAGAAGGAAGGAAGCTCTCCTGGAGGGCTACAGGCATTGGTCACTGTGGGCTCTTAAACTAGAGGGGTTTAGAGATGGAGTGGCCCCTCTTGGCTGCTCCCCTCCTCCCTCGTTAAGTGGACATTAAGCACCTGCTGTATGCAGCGTGCACTGGGCCTCAGAGACAGGAGCGGGGGCCCTGAGGAGGGCAGAGTCTAGCCCTGAACCCTGGGAGCTGGATGGAATAGAAATGAATCATACCGAAGGGAACCGAACAGAAAGAGGGAGAGGGCTCTGGAGATTTGTGTGACACCCAGCCTCCCCTTCCTGCTCCCCTCCAGGACTGGGGTGCTGCCCTCGGGAGCCTTCCGGGCAGCAAGGCTGGATGTGGCCACATTGCTTGTCCAGGGTTCTGCGTCTGTCACGCCTCTGCCTCTGACATGGGGTCCCAGGGTTCTTTCCTCTCCTGCCCCCACCCTTACTCGAGCGAGGCTGAGGCGGGGGGTTGGTGGGGAGGTAGTTAGGGCATAAGGTCCAGAGAGGCAGATGCCCGGGGTGGGCTGGGAGGTGGCCCAGCCCTGGGCGAGGAAGAGAGGCTGTCCTCCTCTCAGCCAGGACACCTCCAGGAGGTGCACGTCTGGGCCTGGGGTCTTGGTGGGGACCCCTCCCCAGCCCCCCAAGCCACTCATTCCTCTCCTCAAGCAAACCAACCTGGACCATCTGGGTGGAGCTGGAGGGACTTGAGAGGTCGGTAAACTGAGGCTCAGGGAGCGCCAGAGCTCAAGGTTACTGTCGAGAGTCCCATCTAGGGTTTGGGCCCAGGCTCAGGCTTCCTTAAATCTGAGTCTCACCCCAACCAGGCCTAAGACCTCTTCTTCAGAATCGTGTGTGCAGCTGGGGGAGGGGCCTCCAGTGCCTGCATCCCTTCCCCAGGCCTTGCCCATGGCAGACACCCCTGACCTCCCACAGTACCTACCCCTCATAAGCGAGCAAGGCAGGAGGCAGGGCCTGACCTTGGGTCACCGGCCCATGGCCCATGGGCAGAGTTAGTAGGGAGCCCTCCTGCGTAATACCTGACTGGGGCTTCCAGGAAAAGCCTCCACTCCTCCCTCAGACTGGGGCTCCCAGATCAAGTCTGTGCCTCCCGCCTCAGACTGGGGCTTCCAGGACCATAACTCCCACATCAGACTGGGCTGTGGGGACTTGGTTGTCCTGTTGAGCCTCCTCTGTCTACCCCCCCACCCCCGCCAGAGCGCATCAGCTATGTGCCCCGGCTCTCAAGCCCCACCCTGGCAGGGACACTCACCCAGTCTACCTTCACGCTGGAGCAGCCGAGGGGCCAGTTCAGTCACCGCAACATCTCTGACTTGGACACCATCTGGCTGGTGGTGGCCCACAGCAACGGTGGGTGCCACAGGGACAGCCCTGGGTTTTCCCTCTGTGAAATGGGCAGGAGGCCTGGGTGGAACAGCAGATGTGGGGAGAGGGGAGACAGGTCTGCAGGGGATGTGGCTCGAGGGCTCTCTGGCTGGGTGGGATGGGGTGGGGCCCTGCCCTTGAGTCCCCACCTTCTGACCTGCGACTCCCCTCAGCCACCCAGAACTTCGCTGCCCCTCAGAGAGTGGAGGACATCCCAGTCCCGGCCAACTTCATGCAGAGGGGCTACTACCTCACGCTGATGGCCAGCCGGTTGCTCTACCCGGGCAGCCAGCCTGGCAACCAGCTCCAGGTCCTACGCGTTGGCAATGATACCCGCTGCTCCCCTAAGACGAGAGGCTGTAACCACCCCCTGCCGGGCCCGGGCCCCTACCGGTGAGCTCCTGCCTGAGCTTGGGGCAGCTTCCAGCTGAGTGCCTGGGTTTCTGGGGGGCGGGAGGGGCAGGGGCCGGGGACGCCTTGGTGAATTCTCCCTTCTTCCTTGGGTAGAGGGCCCCCCCCACCTGACCCCTCCCCCCATGGGCTGTCTGGACCCTGCAGGTGGAATTTTCCCATCCACAATGGGCCCCAGCCCTGTCTCCCTTCACTCAGGGCTTGACTCACTGATGTGGGGTGCTGGGGAGCTAGTCCATTCCACACACATATCCTAAGTGAGGACACTGAGGCCCAGAGAGGGTGAGGGATGAGCCCAAGGCTACACAGCTGGAACTGGAGCCCCTTCTGGTGCATTCTAAGGCTGGCTTTTAGACCCAGTCCCCACTCCCCCAACGTTTCAGGACCTAGGAGTTAAGAGATCAGACTGACAGGTGTCAGGGCCAGAGGGTTTCAGGTCCCAGGGACCCCTCCCCATCCTGGGTCTCCTTCCCAGAGTGAAGTTCCTGGTGATGAGTGACAGGGGACCTGTGGCTGAGACAGAGTGGTCCAACGAGACCCGCCTGCAGCAAGGTATGGGGCCAAATGAGCAGGTCAAATAGTAGGGCTGGGGGTCCTGGGCCTGGGGGGCTCCTGAGGATGAATGGGGCTGGGGAGAATGGGGCAGCCCCCCATCATAGCCACCATCACCACCCTGCTGTCTGCAGGTGCCCCTCCCCCAGCCTGGGGCGAGGGATGGTTGGTCTGGAGGCTGTTCCAGGTCCCCTTTCTCAGGTCAGAACTCTCTTCCCTGCCCCCCTGCCTACCTGGGGAACCCCTCACACCCCTCAGCCAAGGCACTGCAGGCTGCCCCAGGACCCCAAAGCGTGGGCACCGTGGTCATCATTGCCATTTTATCGGTCCTGCTGGCTGTCCTTTTCACTGTCCTCCTTGCTCTGCTTATCTACACCTGGTAAGTGGACAGGGTCTGGGCCCCGTGGGAGGGGTGGGGTCTCTGACCCAGGCCACCTCTTATCCTCCTCATCCTCACTACCCAGAAGCCAGCAGGGCTTGTCAATGTGTGTGTGTGTGTGTGTGTGTGTGTGTGTGTGTGTGTGTGTGCGCGCGCGCGCGCACGAATCCCTCCCTCCTTTGTCCCTTTCTGCGGACCAATTGCGGGATGCGGGACGGTGGTGGCATGGGCGTGTCCACGCTCTCTGAGCGGGCACCACTCGCCCCCTGGCGGTAATATCTGGAATTGCGAGTAGAGGGCTCCCGCGGAGACCCCGAGGTGGAGAATTGCTTTTAATTCAAGCGCTGAGCTTTGCCTCAAAACTTCATTCAAAACTCGCATGCTGGAGCCTGGTGGACAGGGGGTGCCCACAGGGCTTCCTAGAGAAAAGGGGAAACCTGGCCTCTGGGTGGGATTTGGGGAGGGGGGGGAGCAGTCCTGGGAAGTGGGTGGAGGGCAGGGGGATTTCTGGCAGCCAGGCAAGGGGCGGGGGTGGGGGTGGGAGTGGGGGTGTCATGACTCCTAGCTGAGGAAAAGGACTGTGTCCTGAAGGCCAGAGGGAGCCAGTGGTGGGTTTCGATGAGGGGAGACAGGGGAGACCCTGGGGTGCAGGGAATAGAGGAGAGTGGGGGGCACAGCTGGATTTGTGAGGTTTAGCCTGGTTTCTTTAGGTTAGTCCAGCCTGGCCAGTGGGGCCTCAGTTCCCCCAATGCTCCTATGCCTAGAGCTCCAAGCCGTGGGCAGTAGCTGTGGGACTTGGATCAGGCCCTACGCTCATCTTCTCTCCCCTTCCCCGAAGTCATGACACCTGCAGGAACGCTCCCATTTCGGGCCCGGAGCAGTTGACTTGCGTGAGGAGATACAACACCCACCACATGACCAGCCCTCCAGCCACGGGGGCCACCTGAGGGGGCTCGCACCTGTCCCTGGGCCTTCTCCCTGCGGATCCTGGGCTGGGAGCATGCCCAAAGCTTCTGGAGCCCCAGGAGAAGTGGGGGGAGGGTGTCCCTACCCAAAATTAGGCCTGTCCCTGTCAGAAATAAATGTCCCCAGCACCCCCTGCACATCTGTGTTGTTGTTCACCCGGGCAGTCTCCCTGAACCCCTGTCCCCAGCTCTCCTGAGCAGGGTGGGGGTGGGGGCTCTTCAGAGGATATAGCATCAGAGGTGAGGTCCAGGGTCTCAGGCCAGCTGAGCCATCTGGGTCCGGGTAAGCCTCTCTTCTGGCCTCTATGTCCCTATCTGGAAAATGAGAGTGATTACACTGGCCTCACTGGGTTGAGGTTACTCTGCACCAACGAGGTGAATGTGTGCACCTTGCCCTGCATGTCCGGCTCTGGCTGCCCCATCCCCGCAGAGCTCAGCCCAAAGCTGACACTGGCCCCAAACCGAGTCCCAGGCGCCCAGCATTTGTTATCATCAGACCCACTCCGGGCCAGGCGGGGAAAGGCCCAAACAAGTTTCTGCCCTCAAGTTGCCCAGTGCTGAGGGGGAATGCAGGTGCCAGATCCAAGAGGCTCCCTGGACAGGTATGTCCTTGAAGGTGCAGTGCTGTGCCAGGTGACACAGGAAGGTGCACAGGTCGGGGCAGCAGCCTATGCAAAGGCCCTGGAAGCAATGGAGAGCTGGTGGGTGGGCAGGTTCTGGTGGCTTGAGGATGGGGTGAGGGATGGCAGGGAGGCGGGGGTGGTGGTGGTGGCCCAGGCCACATGCCTCTTGGGGCAGGGGGCAGGGAAGGAGGGCCTGGCTGGGTTCCCAGGTGCCTGTCTCTGGGAGGTGCTAATGGCTGTAACTGGTTTAATAGCCAGTGCAGACATATCCTGTTCAGGCTGGGAGGGGCGGGGAGGGGGGTAAACAGGCTTCCATCCCCTGCCTAGGTCAGTCTTGGTCTCTCCAGAGCCTTTTTGGACGGAGCAGCCATGAGCCCCAATCCTAGGGCTGGGTGACCCCAGACACATCACTTACCCTCTCTGGTCCTCAGTTTCCCTTTATGTAAAAGGCAAGGGTTGAACTGGGTGGCCAAGGCCCTTACTGCACAAGCCGATGCCCTGTATCGTGAGGCCTGGCAGGAAACAGATGGCATGCTGTCTGGCAGGGCAATTGAGAGCATTTACAAAGGTGTGGTCAGCGTGCTAAGGGAGCCAAGGAGAGGGCCCGGACCCAGTGTTTATGATGGGGACATAATCACTCCAGTACATCAAGGGCTGACAAGAGGGAAGCGGTATCTCCAGAGCCAGCAGGCAGGAGTAGTGGGTGAGGGTCTGCCCATCGGAAGCAGGGGCTGGAGATAGAAGGACGCAACCACTAGAGGGAGCCGGCGAGTAAATACCCCGGCCTTTCTCCTGCCTTCTGACCTCACGCCGCTGGCTTCTCCCGACCACACTACCGCATGTAACCAGAAGCAACAGGGCAGGGGACTCTGGGTGATACAGTCCATGTGCCACCCTCTTGGGACCAGAGCGGAACAGAGAAGGACCAAGAATGGACACAGAGGACTACTGTGATCTGTTTTACTCACAGCACTTCTGACACTGAACGTGTGGCTTTTCCTTACATGGACCAATTCTCTATTGTGAACTGTGATTTATTTTTTTAAATGTTTGTTTATTTTTGCGAGAGAGAGCGTGAGTGGGGGAGGGGCAGAGAGAGAAGGAGACAGAGGCTCCAAAGCAGGCTCTGCACTGACAGCAGGGCTCGAACTCATGAACTGTGAGGTCATGCCCTGAACCGAAGTCGGATGCTCAATGGACTGAGCCACCCGGGCCCCCCCCGGGTGTACTATGATTTAATTCAATTCTGACACTAACTACCTGGAGTTAGTATAGACCCCATGGGTCAAGGGCTCGGCCCCATAAGACTGCCCCCTCCCCCTTCAGACACTGGTGACAAGTACTGGGTTCCTGAGATACCCACATTTCTGTCCAACTGGGCTGCAACGCAGGGACACCCACGACCCCATCCTCAGATTGGCTGATCTGCTAGAACGGCTCACGGAACTCAGGAAAACTGTTTACTTGCTATTACGAGATTATTATAGAGGCTACAATTCAGGAACAGCAAAATAGAAGGGACTCCTAGGGTGAGGCTTGGGGGGAGGGATGCGAAGCTGGCATGCCCTTTCTGGGTGCAAATCTCTCCCAGCGTGTTTACCACCCCGTAAGCTCTCTGAACAGGGGCACCTGGGTGGCTCAGTCGGTTAAGCATCCGACTCCGGCTCAGGTTATGATCTCATGGTTCATGAGTTTGAGCTTCGAGTGGGGCTCTGTGCTGACAGCTCAGAGCCTGGAATCTGCTTCGGATTCTGTGTCTCCCTTTCTCTCTCTCTGCCCCTCCCCTGCTCATGCTCTGTCTCTCTCTGTCTCTCAAAAATAAACAAACATTAAAAAAAAAAGAAGACAAAAAAGCTCTTTGAACCCCATCGACTAGGGTCTTTCTGGAGGGTCCATCACGAAGGCATGATTGATTAAATCATTGACCGTTGGTGATGGAACTCACTTGCAGCCTCTGTGTTCTCCCCAGCGGTTGTCTCGGGGTGGGGCTGGGGCTGGAAGTTCCAACCATCTAAGCACATGGCTGGTTCCTCTGGTGACCAGTCCCATCCTGAAGCCACTTGGGGCCCCACCAAGAGTCACCTTATTAGCATGGACTCAGGTGGGATTAAAAGAAGCTTGTTAGAAAATAAAAGACCTTCTTGTCTCCCCTAACATTAAAAAAATTCTAAAAATTTTGAGAGCTCTGTGCCGGGAACAGAGGAATAAATAAATAAATAAACTGGGAATAAATAAATAAACACACACACACACTTTTTGAGAGAGATCAAGTATGAACGTGGGAGGCGCAGAGGGAGAGAGAGAGAGAATTTTAAGCAGGTTCCATACTCAGCCCAGAGCCGGGCATGGGACTTGATTCCATGAACCCTGGATCATGACCTGAGCCGAAATCAAGAGTTAGATGCTCAACTGACTGAACCACCCAGGCGCCCCAACATTTTTTTTTTTTAATGTTTTTTTTTTTATTTATTTCTAGGAGAGAGAGAGAGAGACAGCGTGAGCAGGAGAGGGTCAGAGAGAGAGGGAGTCACAGACTGAAACAGGCTCCAGGCTCTGAGCTGGCAGTCAGCACAGACCCCGACGCGGGGCTTGAACCCACGAACCGCGAGATCATGACCCAAGCGAAAGTCGGACGCTTAACCGACTAAGCCACCCAGGCACCCCAACCCCAACATTTTTTTATTGTATCATGAAATCATAGAGGGTCAAAGACCTCCTTTGTGCCGATCCTGTGGAATCAGACCCTTCTCCAACTTTGTGGTCTCCAGACTGGACAGAAGGGCAGACTGCTGACCTTAAAGTCCTGTCCCAGACAGAGGGCTGCCTGAAGCCAGAGTGGGGGTGGGGCGTGCAGAGGAGACTTCAGGAGCTGATCCCTGAGTCTTGGAGGACAGGGACCCTGACTGCCTCTGATAGGCTATCTCAGAAGCCCCCAGGGCCACCATACAACCCCAGACCCAAACCTAGATCTGCCCCCAGACCCCTACCTCCTCATGGTCCCCTGGTCCTGCAGGACCCAGGCCGAATGTTGAAGACCCTGATTAACCTCTCCCCTTGACTACAGGCCCCCACTGAGCACATGCACCATTTTCTGTGACAGGCACAGCCCAGCCACAGAGCCGAAGCCATCTTCTTGGGACCTGCCTGGTGCTGAGCTCAGAGCCCAAGCCCAGAGATGCGGAGAGCCCAGCATGCTGTGGCTTGCTTCCCTGGTCTCTTCTGGGGCCTGGGAGCCGGGGCTGGTTGGAGGGGTAGGCCCGAGCCAGGGTGGCCCCGTGAAGCTGCTGGCCATGATCCGCATGCGACAGATGAGGAACCTCAGCTCGGGAGCTGTGTCCTGAGACCCACTCTCAGGGAGAGTTGCACAGCAGTCAGGGCCCTGGGAAGGTCCGTGCTCTGGCCCCAGTCCGGGCCCCCTGCCTGACCCTCCTCGCTCTTTTCATGCATGAAAATGATGGAAGAGATGAGCCACAAGCACCTGTCATCCCCCTCCCCAACCACCCACTCACTCCTATGCCCAGTAGACACTCACTGACTCGAGGCTTGCTGGAGACATGTAGGCCTGGCCTCGTGGGGGCTAGATATGCACAGAGGTAAGAAGGGGGCCCTCATGGGATGGAGCAGGGGCTGGTGGGGTGACCACTGACCCACTCAGCAGCCTGCTATCAGGGGGCATAAACCTGGGGAAGACAGATTGGGGACAATCATCTTGAGCCATGAAATGACATCCAGTGGGTCCTATGTCACCTGCCATCAGGCTGATAAATGGACAAATGGATTTGGGTAGGGGCCTTTTTCTGCATTGCTGGCTGGTGTGTGTGTGTGTGTGTGTGTGTGTGTGTGTGTGTGTTTTAAGTTTATTTTTGAGAGAGAGAGCAAGCTCGAGTGGGGGAGGTGCAGAGAGAAGAGAACAAAGTATCTGAAGTGGGCTCTGCACTGACAGCAAAGAGCCTGACGCGGGGCTCGAACCCACAAACTGTGAGATCATGACCTGAGCTAAAGTCAGACACTCAACCGACTGAGCCACCCAGGCGCCCCTCTTGTCTTTATTTTTAACTATGACAAGCCATGGGAACTCGGCTCGCTTCCTCGGGGGAAGCTGTCTGAGCCGGCCCAGAGATGGGCATGGCCATTTCCCAGTGGATGTGGGATAAAATCAGAAAGCTGGCTTCTCTGTTCCAGGCTTGGGCTCAGTATGGGGAGAGGACAAAAATGGAGCAGACACCCAGACACCCAGATGTCCCCTGCAGCGGAACCCAGGTGGCCCTATTGGACTGTCATGGGAATTTAGACAGCTCTGTCCCCCTTGAACCTAGGGTCTGCTGGGAACACCAGCTCGCACAGAGGGGTCTGAAGGCCTGGATGGTGCCAGAAGCCTCCAGGCAGGAAGGAAGAACCACAAAGGCCTGGAGAGGCAGCAATCAGCTAGTCCTGGGGTCCAAGGGTGGGCTGCTTCCACCTCTGATGCTCTTAAACTCCCTGGGGAATGTTTCCACCCTGGGCCACCAAAATGCA